AATTAAAGGAAATATTTTTCTATTTTTTTTTTTTATAAGATTTGGACCCATGACCTTCCGCACTGCTAATGACTCGACCACAAACCTACTGCATTTTTTTATAGTTGGGTTAAACTTCTCTTACTTTCATGAGCTTTTCCAAGCGAAATTCTCTCCTGAAATTTAATGAACAAATTTAATTCCGTCAAAGCCATTCGCAACTTTCAATAAAATGCTATCGATGTACGAGTATAATAAAAATATTATACTTTTCCAGACAAAATATTCAACTTTTCTTCTTAATTCAGTGAAAGCTAAATACTAAAGCTTTTACTAAGGAAGCTCTCAAACAATAAGAGTGGAGTTTTCACATGAAAGCTTTCATACAACTTTAGACTATTTTAGCTCACATTGTCTATCATTTACACTTAAGCTCCATCACGCATTGGGTAGGTACCAGAACTGCAGTTATCCTTCCCAGATAATTCAAAAAATTGTTTGTACAAGGTTACGAGCTGTACTACAGTGCTTCAAATGGCGCAATGGCTACTATTAGTTTTATTGATAAAGTGAAACTTCTTATTTCAAATACGTTTTTTGGAAAAGAAGAGCCACTTTGATCAAAACAAATCGTATTAACACCAAATACGTATTTGCTTCCCTTTAATACAATATAAAGACCTGAACAATTTTGTTGTAAATAGAGAAATGTTTGTGAAAGCCCAAAAAAAAAAAATTATAGAAACCTTTGAAATGATAATTATTTGGTTCCTTGGTTGAAAGAGGGATGCGGCAGTTAGGCCAATGAGCAGGCTCGATGTGCTTTTCCGAGTTTTTCAGCTAGGCTTAGCGATTGCTCGATTTTATTGGAAAAAACTCCAAATTTGAGTCCCTATCTCCTTGAGGTAGGAGCTGGGATATGAGACGTTTCAATCGACTGAAGGCCGGATACTCGCAAATGTAATGCACTAGCATTCCGTCATCCTCTGCCGATTCCAATTTACCTAGCTAGATGATATCTCATGGATCAAGATAGATGCCTCATTAATGCAGAAGAAGAATTTTTATGAAATTTTACTTAAATTCAAAAATAGTTAAATTTACTGTTAATAATCCACAACCGCATTGCGTCATCGTTACCCCCAGAACGTCAATAAAACTAAACGAAACTTTCGTTTTAACACGAAACACGGCATAAACAAGCAAACATCAAAAATACTTGTACTTGTACATCAACAACAATTCTAATTTCCAATCGATTTCCCTGAGGATAAAGCAAATATAACAAATAGCCAATTTCTATGCAAGTAAATAACAATTAAAAGTGATTTTGTCAGTCATTAGTTGGGAACTAATCTTGCCCCAAATGAATTCGTATTTCGTTTACAAAATTCAAAAACAACTTTGACAACGGCGCAACGACGAACATTAGGCGGAAAGTCATCAAGAATTGCTTTGATTTGCAAAATTACAATTCTCAGCAAAATTCCAAGACTATGTAAATAAGTAGACAGACCGAATACAGAAGTGAGCTACACAGAGAGGCGTTTGAATGTAGAGCCACGAGCTGATGGCAGTGAGTGCAGAAACTTTATCCTAAACGACTGTGCGATGCGGAATGTGGAGTAAGTGTGGAAGAGCAAAAGTTTTCTCAAGTTTGCCGAAAATTAGAAGCACATCTTAATTATTGGCCAAAGCTAGCTGCCTCGACTATAAAGTATTTGAGTTGGCGGCGCTCCGTAGTTGTGCTTAATCGCAAACTCTAAGGTCATCTATGCCTAAAAACAATTTCCGTTTTTTATTTGCAGCGCAGGCAATAAAACAATATTAGCAAAAGTTCATGAGCCCTCTCTAAAGTATTGCTTACGTTGCAGGAAAAGGTAGACAAAGCATGTAGAAAAGAATATATGTACTTCAAAGCAACTAGTTCCCGAATTGATTACATGTGGACTGATCGTTTTCAATGCTAATTTCTTGGTAATAAAATTAAATAAATAAATATCAACAAATAAGAAATAAAAAAATTAACAACATAAAATAGATAACAATAGTAACAAATATTAAAAGAAAAACAAAAAAAAAAAAAAAAAAAANAATGAAATGAAATGAAATGAAATGAAATGAAATGAAATGAAATGAAATGAAATGAAATGAAATGAAATGAAATGAAATGAAATAAAATAAAATAAAATAAAATAAAATAAAATAAAATAAAATAAAATAAAATAAAATAAAATAAAATAAAATAAAATAAAATAAAATAAAATGAAATGAAATGAAATGAAATGAAATGAAATGAAATGAAATGAAATGAAATGAAATGAAATGAAATAAAATAAAATAAAATAAAATAAAATAATTAAACTAAAATTTAAATAAAGAAAATAAAATAAGATGAAATGAAGTGAAATATAAAAAAATGAAATAACATATTATTAATTTCAATTATATTAAGTTAAATCGAATTAAATTAAGTAAATTAAATCAAATTAATTAAAAAACAAGCATAATTAAGTAAAATAAACTAAAATAATATAAAACAAAATTAAGTAAAATAATATAAAATAATTAAAATTTAATAATTTACCTTATGTTAAGTTAAAAATAAATAAATTAAAAAAAATTTAATTAAATATAAAAATAAATAAAATAAAATAAATCAAACTAAATTAATTTAAAATAAAATCAAATACAATTAATTAAAATAAAGCAAAACTAAGTAAAACAAAATAATATTAAGTTAAATGAAATAAAATGAAATAAAATAACACAACATAAAATGAAAAAATTAATTAAATTAAAAAAGAATGTTTGAGTTACTCATTTTCTGTGAAGGGATTGGCACACGCTTTATATTTCCTTTGAGACCTTTTTCAACCGGGTTCGACCTATCATACACACTATTCGCCGCCTTAGAATCGAAAATCTTTGGCATAATTTTCTAATAAAAATAAATTGTGCGAAATGTTTTTGGCTAAGTTGGATTCCTCAGGCGAGATGTGAAGTAAGGCAATGCTAGGGGAAGTGAAGTGTAATCGAGAGCAAAAGTAGCCACTCAAAGTGCCATTGGAAATACAAATCTTCGAAAAATTGCTTGCGAGGGTAAGCCGAGAGTAAGTTGTAACCAAAACACACATATATATACATATGTATGTTTGTGTTGCAAAGAAGGCAGCCAAATCAAAAATTATGACAAACAGAAATCGTCCGCACTTCGGGCGGAAGTCAATAAATTTGCTTGTTTAATGGCAGCAACACAACGCAAATAGCACAAACATGTTCACAAGCATAATCAAAAACATGCAAACAAACATGTGTGGGTTGACGAATCTGCCCGTCAGCAGGCATAAAAGCAGCGTGTGTGTGTGTGTGTGTGGGTGTGTAAGGTTGGTATATTTTTAGGAGCATAAATGTTATTTTTGGGCGTGTTTTGCTTGTGTGCGTGATAAGCTTCTGCCAGTTACACATATGAATACCAACAATTACTTATGAGTAAACGCACGCAGAAAATGTGTGTTTACATGTGTTTGTTCGGGCCAGTCCTGGGAAAACATGCCAAATAATGTTGACTGTTTATGGTTGTTTGCCTCAAAATATGCTTATCATTTTTATTTTTATTTTTGTGTTTTCATATTTTTATTTTTTATTATACTTTACATTTTTGTTGTTCTATTTGTGTTGAATTGTTTTGCTGTAGACAATAAAGTATCGGATTAATAAAATTGGTAAATAATAAATACCATATTAAAGGACTTATTGATGTTTGAGTGAAAATAGGAACTTTTCGTAGCTATCGTTAATGTTTTTGTTATATTTTTTATGACTGCGTGATAAGACAGCAAGTGATGGACACATTTTTTATTGCTCACATTAAAGCAAATATAGATTTTTACTGGCTTCTGATACGAATAAAAATATTATAAAATTAGCTTATTCTTTTTTGTGTGTAATTTTAAGTAAACAATAATTTTTTTTTTGTTTTATTATTAATATAGGTCAGTTGAAAAAACGTAGTGATTTTAAGATTGTTTCTGTTGGTACAATTATCTTTCATTATTATATTTTGGTGATTTAAGTAAAACTTAAGAATAACCTTGTTTTCTCAACTTCAAATCAAATTTGCGGTCTTATTGTTATATGATATAAACAAAATCTTTTAAATGAGGAAAACTGACTTAATCCATTCTAATTAAGGTGAAGCAAATACTCCAGAGTACAAAGTTAAAAAATTTATTTTACTCTATTTTATTTCATTTTTTCTTCTAATTATTTATCCCATATTTGATATACATTTTTTTTATATTTTTTTTTTTGTTTGACTTCATTTTATTTTATTTTATTCAATATCAATAAATTTAATTTATTAACTCAATTCAATTCAGTTTTATTTTTTACTTTGTTTTATTCCTTTTATTCTTTCTCTTTTTATTCTATTTTACTTTATTTTAATTAAATTCATTCCTTTCTTACTTTATTTTATTTTCTTTCATTTTAATTTACATTTCTTCTTTGTTTACTATTTCATTTTATATTAATAGATTTTGTTTCTTAAAATTTATTTTATTTTACTTGATTTTATTTTATTTCTTTCATTTTATTTTGTTTTATATATAAAGAAATATTAATATTTTATTTTATGTAGTTTTTCTACTTTATTCTATTTTTTTTTGTCTTATTTATATTCATTTTTATCATACTACTATAATTTTTTTATATTACTTTATTTTATTTCCTTTTATTTTTTTTATTTAATTTAATTTAATTTAATTATATTTAATTATATTTCATTTTATTTTATTTTAGTTTATTTTATTTTATTTCATTTAATTTAATTTAATTTTATTTAATTTTATTTTGTTTTTTTTTTTATTTTATTTTATTTTATTTTAATTTATTTTATTTTATTTTATTTTATTTTATTTTATTTTATTTTATTTTATTTTATTTTATTTTATATTATTTTATTTTATTTTATTTTATTTTTTTAATTTTAATAATTTTGTTAATTTTTTTTTTCAAAATACAAAAGTCAGTTTTCCCTTTTATTACAGCATTTTGAATAAATTTATTAGAATGTCGTGAATTAACTTTGCGTAGAACTTATGTTTTTTATTGTGCTTAATAATTTTTATTTATTACTTATTACGCCGAGTCAAAGGCTTTTTCCAGTGTGCAAGTGCAATTTCACATATAAAAACCGCTAAAGCAATCGTCCAGCCAAAGGCAAACATGCTCCACATAAATGATATGCTTTTCATGCCGATTGGTTGTGTCCAATCCCGGTTCGCAAATGCTAGTTTATTAATTTTTTTCAAACGTACTGCTTCAGCATATGTGACTTCAATCCAATGATTTGCCAAGCCACTATCGGCAATTCTTGTGAGGAAAAGATCTAATGAATCCTTAAAAGCGGAATTCGGTGGCAGCAGAAATCCCTGCAGAGTTTGCCGCTTCAAGCAAATATCGGTCCAACGAAAAACACGTTGACTCAGTGATCTCATATTAAATTTAATAAAGTGCCATGTGAATAAATCTGTAGGGTAAGCGTACGAGGTATTGAGGCTTTCCATATACTTTCGAGTTATTTCTTGAGATTCTGAAATTTTCAAAAAGCGTTCATACCTTGCACAGGATTCGTAACACCAAAATCTTTTGTATGAATAAAAGTGTCTGCTCATCATCACTTTAATGCCGACATTATTTAAGTCTTCCCAGCTCTTTGGCACCGGCATCTCAACAGGTTTGGTCACGAACGTCTTCAGATTCGCCGCGTAATGTGTTTGAATGCATAGAAACCACACCAAAGATAAAGAAATTAAAATTTTTAAAGTTACCAAACTTTGCACGCCCCGCGGTTGCGCCGGACCATAGTTGAAAGCCATATAACTTGGTTCGAGGTAGGAAGCTAAAATGCAACCATGTAATGGTCTACCTGCTCGTAAACGCCGCAAGCGAATACATAGATGGAGTAAAATTATGGTTGTAAAGTAGCTAATGAAGATTAACGCGGAAAACTTCCCATCGAAATAAGTTAGGAGGAAATCCGTAACTGAGTGATACCACACTACCGGTGCTACAATACAAATATCACTAATACCGTATGGGCGCGAGGACATATCAATAGTATTTGCTGTTTCCAAGAATATGTGCTTCATCGGGATATCCAATAAATTATTTTGCATGAAATTATCGATTGTAGTAGAATTGATTATCTCGCCAACTCTGACTTGCATTGGGTAAATGAGTGTAGCGTTGATGGTCTCCGCAAAGATCGTCAGTAGACATGACAAGTAACCTCCAACCTTAACACGTCCATCCTGCAAATACAGAAAAGTCCATGCCGCTGTTAGATCGGGTAGCGTGCGTATGCCATAGCCGTGCAGGTTACTCAAACGTGGCGGAAACACCAAATCATTCCAAGTTTCCAAATGTTTGCGCTCCAATCGAAAGTGCGGAAATATTGTATAACTGTAGTAAGTTTCCGTCTGCCAGAAATCACCATCGACCACCAAAACATTAAGCATTTTCTTCGTTTCACACAAACGAAAGAGCTTCGTTAAATACTGATCGTCAGCGTTCGTCACTTGCTGCTCACCGCCGATGAGTATGATACGTTTTTGTCGCAGAAGCTCAAGTGTTGCGCCGATTTTCGGCAGTTCACGTTCGAAATCCTCCAACCGCACTAAGCTGAGCACATTCCTATTGAAAATGTTTGCAATTTGAAATGACGAATTGGTGGTTTGCAGTAGAATAGGTGTGCTCAGGTCTTCAAATAAAATTTGCAGAAATATCTGCAGCGTTTCACTTGCTTGCAGATCTCCATAAAGTAAGCAACTTTCAAATCTCTCTTCTGCCCATATTTTTGCCATGAATTTCTGGTAAAATTTTACTCTTTCCATTTTCATTATACTTTTTGTGGTAGTTGCATCGCCCATTGGACATGGCTGTGTGACTATTACCGCTGAGAGTAAAACTAAAATTATGATTGCATTAAAATCCATTACTTTTTCTTTTATTGATTTTGAATTTCGCGTGTTGTCGTGTGCTGAGCTCAGATTCAAATAATTTAAATTAAACTCTGCTAAAGTGACTCTCATTCGACAGCGAATTCTTTGGCTGCAATTAACCCTTAAATTGTAATTGAAAATTAATTTCCCATAATTTTTAACGTAATGCAATAATGGATTCACTATCGATAATTACTTCTGATGGAGCAGTCGATTGCGAGTTCAAATCATGATTTTGCTGGATTGAATTGAAATAAATTCAGCTGACGTAAGAGGCTTGCCTAAAATTAAAGTTATAACTTCGAACTAACAGTAAGGAGGGACTAGTAGAGTACTAAATGTGCAGGAAACGTAGGTCATATGTGGATACATTGAAATATTGCAGACAGAGGATATGCTTGCCTTAAGCAGAAAATCAGCAAAACCTTCAATCAGCAATGAGCAAAGGAACAAAACGACTTCTGCAACTTGCGAGGTGAATACAAATTTTCTACAATATAAATTTATAGACACCAGAATGAGTCTGGCAGTACAACTTTAGTTGTATGTGGAGAATCTCTTAAGGTTTGCCCTATTTAATGTATAAAGAATAGGCAACGAACTACTCCCCCTTTATATCACTGAGAAAGTAGTTTTGGGATCTATTCCTCTACGTTTAGGATTCCATTATTACACCAACCAAAAAATTAACTATAGTGAATCTCGAATATTTAAATTTTTCTAATAAACCGTGCTCTCCGTAAAAAAATCAGTTCAGTCAAAAAGGACTATGAATATATAAACCATGGTCCATTTACAGCAGAGAAGAGTAGTTTTCCTACACATTTAAGTAAAACTTCGAACTCGAACAAAAATTACTATTTTCTTGAATAGGTTTTATGTACAAATCTTTCCAGGAACCATAGAAACACAGCGAAAAATTTTACGGTTGGTTGAAAAGTTTCTGCGCACACCAGGAAATAGTACTGCAACCACAAGTTCAATTATTTTTTTCTCACGTTGGTACATCTGCCGTGAGAACACATGTCAAGTTCCAGGTCATTCTGTCAATTCATTCCTTGTTTACAGGGCATTTGAAGTTGATGCCTCGGAGTAGTTTTTTAATATGGAAAAAATTGAATATGGCGCAGTGATTTGAATACTTGTTTTAATAGGTTTAAAAGCAAAGAAAATTTCTGAACAATCGTTAAAAGTGTATAAGAAGGCCTCAGCTTCTGAACGCACCGCTGAATTTTGGCCTGGTGTATCATGGTCATACTAGGCTTGAAGATGATCCACGCAAAGGACGATCAGAAACCGCAACCACACCAGAAATCTTTGAGCAAGTTCATATTACTGTTAGTGAAGATCCAAGTTTGATTAAGCGTAAAATTGCTAATGCCATTGACATCTCCGACGAACGAATACTTCATATTTTTCATGGAGAATTTCATATGAAAGAGCTGTTTGGAAAGTTTGCGCCGCATACAGTTAACAATACAACAAAAACTACATCGAAAATCAATTTCTCAGCATAATCTGAAGCGTCTTAAGCAGAATAAAACCGATTTATTGCGTCGTTTTATAGCTATCGACGAGACTTGGATCTACCACCAGGAGCCTAAATTGAAACAATAACGTTTACAGTGGGCTGAAGTCGGTTGCTCAGCTCCATCAGCATCAGTTTTTTGGGATGCAAAAGGAATGTTGTTGATTGATTATCTGCTGAGAGTTAAAGCAATCAACTCTGATTATTATTGCATTCTTTTGGATCAGTTGGATGAAAAAAATTTGTGAAAAAAGACCTGATTTGCAGCACAAGAAATCATTTTCCATCAAATCAATGCACCGGCTCACAAAGTTGTTTTACCAATGACAAAAATAAACAACGAAACAAGTACGAATTGCTTGAGCATCCACCGTATTCACAAATTTGGCGAATACCACCTCTTCGGAAACCTGAAACGATTCCTTCGTAGAAAGCGTTCATCGAATGAAGAAGCTAGTACAGTCGTAGACGGTAATTTTTGAGAGCTTGCGGAAAGTCATTATAGGGATGGCATTGATTTATTGGCGGATCAATGGAACAAGTGTATTGTAGTTAAGGGAGATAATATTGAATAAAAAAATATATTTCATACCAAAAACAGAATTTTTTCATTTCGAGCGTAGAAATTTATCAACCGACCCTTATTCTGCCGGGTAGTTTCGGAAAGCATAAACCCACAACCAAGCGTTTTTATATATTTTATACCGATATAGAAGATTTATTATTTGTCCAGTCGGACCACTATAACCTATAAACCCCATATAAGGTTCGGTTATATGATTTTTAGTCATAAATATTTTAATAAAGCATTTAAGACGACCAATTTTGGTATTCTGGTATGTAATCCATTAAACATTGATACTGAGAAACATCGAAATCCTAATCGAAATATGGATACCATACAACGTACTGATTCGGTAAGATATGAGAAATGCAATACTGCTAAACATACAAAGCAGGTTTGGTACCTTATGAGCCCAATTTGGTAGCAAAAGCCCCGAAAATCGTAGTAGGAACATTAAATCATAATAAATCATAGCAAAAGTCGAAATCTATCTGAAATACTTCACAATTTGTTTATATTAACATTTTGTTATACAACAAAGAATAAAACAACAAAAGATTATATGCTTGATGTTGACTCAGTAGTAGAGCACTCGCCTGTTAAGTCAGGATCTGTTGATTCGATATGAGTCCTACGAAAAAGTTCCTCCATTTTTCTTTACAAGCAAAATGTGATTTTGCTCTCTAACTCATAAGTGCTCTAAGCTGTTTCTGAACACCGTTTAGATCGTTAGATTCATAACTACAACCAATCAAGAATTCATCAGGAATTTTTAATTCCGGGGGATACTTTTTATTAGCATTCGCGCTGAAATTCACGCCTGTATCTCATAATTTTAACATAAAAAAATTTACCTTTTGCCGTAGCGTTTTTCAAAGTATTTTGCACCCTTTGCCGCATTCCTGAGTACTTTTATCAATTATGAGTGAAAATTTCTTTTCTTTAAAAATGTACTCAGTTTCATTTCTAAGAGTAGTTTTTCAATAAATAACGCTCTATTTTATCCAGTTTGTTTTCTCACTCATTTTATATTAAGAACTTCGCACATTCCCTCTTTTCTATGAATGCATTTAGTGTTTCCACATTTGGTAAGAAAAGAGACCTTTAAATTGTTGTTAAATTATATGACTTAAAAATGCGTTTTTTTTTTTTCAGTGAAAGACCGTCAATTCCAATGAGCGAACTCTAGCCACCACTCCGAGTTCGTGGTAATGCTTAATATTCCCACTTGAGAATTTTTCAAAACGTTTTTTTTACGTTACCTGGCTTAAATATAATAAAATTAATTATTTTGTAATATACATATTTTCCACATTTCAGCTATTAAAATATTTAGCTAATTTCGCAATTTGAATCAAATTTTTAACTAATCCTTGTTTTCGAATATTTTTGCTTTGAAAAATGATTCAAAAAATTCATGAAAAATTTATGAGAAAAATATTTTTCCAAGCAATTGAAATAAATAGAAATAAGAATTAAAATTAAAATGAAAAATAATTTGCATACATCTGTAAGCACATAGTTAAAATTTCACAGATATTTTTTTATGATTAGTATAATTCATTATGAACATTGTTTAGCTGCACAAAAGATGGAATTTTTATGAAAAATATGCAAAATGTTTTGTAATTAATAAAATAAATATTAATTTTATAATATCAATAGCTACCTATATACTAAGCCACATAAAATAATCACAACAAAAAAAAAACAGACAATAATAAATACGTGCGTGTGAGGTATAAAATCTATAGGGTTTTCCAATAAGAGTAAAATGATTTCTTAAAAAAAAAAAAACAAACAAACACACTAATTGCTAAGAAAATTAAAATACTTTTTTATTTAATAGAAAGTAGGATCAATTCGGTTAAGTACTGAATATAACATCATTCAAATACCCTCCATGACTTCTTTTGCAGGAACGAATTCAATGAATCCAATTTGGAGCACTTTTCCCCCAAAATCAAGTCCTATGGCATGAATAGCACTATCAATATTGACTTTTAAAGCTTGAAGAGAGTCTGGTTTATTGCTGAAGATCAATGACTTCCAATAACCCCACAAGAAGTAGTCTAATGTTGTTAAACCACAGCTTCTTGTAGGCCATTCATGTCACAATTTCTCGAAATAATCGAATCTGCAAAACTTTCTTGGAATAATTCGGTTGTTGCACGTGCTGTGTGACACGTAGACCCGTCTTGTTGGGGGAAACAGTTGTTGTTAAGATCACCCTCTTCCAATCGTGGCCATAAACAGTTGCTTATCATCGATCTTTATCGCTCTCCATTGACAGTAACTTTGCAGAACAAAAAGCATTTGATGAATTAGGTGAACGTGATGGCTGTTCATGAATAATTTGTGGATTTTCTTCGCACCAGAATCGTCAGTTTTGTTAATTTACTACACCACTCAAATGAGAGTGAGCCTCAACGGAGAAGATACAATATATATAATTCGTGCTTTTTAACCGCTGAAGCGATTTTCGGCCGAGTTCCTGCTTCGACTTGTGGTTTTCAGCCTGGAAGTTTTCGCCTCCGAACGGCGATGGTTTTTTTTTACGAGAAACCTTTATTTCATGTCAGAAATACACTCTGATGGGGTTCCCTTTCCTGCCGAGGAGCGACCGCAATTTGAATATTTAACTTAATTTTTTTATTCAAATTAAAATTCTCTGAATTTTGGATGTTGGTACTAAAGCAGGATTTGAGCAGGCGACTTTCGAAGGCGGTGCGCATTGCTAACCACTCGGATACCGTGGAGAACATGATTTTTTTAAACAAAAGTCATTATGAAAAAATAGAAACTTGGAAATCAGATCATCCCTATTGGAAAACCCTTTATATATGTATGTAGCTGTGTATGTACGAGTATTACATAAACTGTTTGTTAATATGCTGAAAGTTAAATAAACAGATTGAGTAACACAATAGGGGCAACGATATGTTAACAAAACAAAACAAACAACGAATGCAAATAAACACACTCACACAGGGTGTTCACGCACAAAACAAAGAACTGAATTCACAACAAAAGGTGCGATGCCAAGAAAAAAAAAACAAATAAAAATTCACGTACAACGCACGGCTTTTAGACACAAAGGATACGAAACACAAAAACACGAAAAACACAAAACAACGTGCAACATGCTGCCGCTGGTCATGCCACATGCCACATGCTGCGTGCAAAAGCCGCATTCAATTTCCAAATACGATTTTAGCCGATTTACAGTTGATGAGCCTCATTCATTTGGCCAACTTTACTTACAGTTTGTGGCTGCTGTTGTTGTTGCTGCTGCTGGGCTGACGAGGACGCCGCTGATGACGACGACGCTGGCGCCGACGTTGTGATGGCATGCTGCAAGAATACCAAAGGACCGATCACGCCGCCATTACCACCACCACCACCTACCGAATTGTTTGCGGTTTTGTGCAGCAATGATTTTGGTTGTTGTACGATGGGCGGCTTACCGTTATCGAACTGGTAGTATAGCACATCGGTTGCTGGCGTAGCGCCACCATAAAGCATTGCACTTTCGAGGCCGCCACCGCCGCTCGAGGCGCCACCGCCGTTGCTGCCACCGTAAGCAGTTTTATAAAGCGATTGTTGCGGTGGTGGCGGATCGGCGGTCTGTGCGCCTGAAATGTGATAAGCTGACATTTGTGGGGGATGTTGCATCTCCTGTGACGAATGTTGCTGCTGCTGCTGCTGCTGAGGCTGATGTTGGCCGGTGTTGCGCAAAAAGTCGGGCATTTGCGGCATTTTATAGTTGTAAATATAGGGACGTTCGTACTCCGCGCCACCGCCGCCACCATGATGTATGTAGGAGAGAAAGAGATCAGATTTGGCTGGATGTAGACGTGAGTCGAAGGCGCCACCACCACCACCACCTGCAACGCCGCTCAAGCCGCCAGCTGTGTGTATGGGCGCAGGTGTAGGATAATAGCTGCCAGCCGGCAATTGGCCAGTGAGCAGCTGCGTTTTGGTGATTGCCTGTCCGGATAGTCGCCTTGTCGGCACGCCAATATCCGACTTAGCGTCCCGTTTCTTCACATGCACCCCAGCGACCGAGGATGGGCCCTGATAGTAGTAGGGCGCCGCCGGCGTATTGGGCCATTCGACGAAACTATCCATGCGATTGGTGCTAGAACTTAAATGACTACCACAACCATATGAATTATTACCAACACCACCACCACTAAATGCACTATGCATTGCAATATTACCGCTACTACCACCGTTACCACCACTACTGCTACCGTTATGGCCGCCACTGCTGCTACCGGCTGCTGACGATTTGCCAAAAACATTATTCAAACTGAACTTGTATTGATTGTTCTCGAATGTGGTGTAGCTCAGCAGACGATTGCCCACACCCACACCGCTGTTGTTGCTACTTTTATTATGCATGTTGCTGTTGCTGTTGTTGTGTTGGTTGTTTGTATTGATATTTGGATTGTTATTAGAGTTGGAGTTTAAGTTTGAGCTTGCTGAGTGTGCAGCTTTTGCGGAGCCACATTTCTCATTAGCATTAGTAAGGTTAGTTGCTGCGAGGGATGAGACTGGGGTGGGACCATGGGAAGTGGTTGAGGTGTGTATGGGTGCCAAAGATTTGCCCATTTGATGATGTTGTTGTTGTTGCTGTTGTTGTTGTTGCTGATGATGTAGTGAAAGGTTGTTGGGATTATTGTAAATGGGTTTCGTTTGCGATGTTTGTTGTTGGCGTTGTGCAAAGCATGAAGCTTGGCGTAGTGGTGTAGCCTGTTGTTGTTGTTGTTGTTGGTATTGCATTTGCTGATTACTCACAGTTTGTTGCATTAAGCTGTTGTAAGTGGATATACCACCACCACCGCTTCCGCCGCCGCCGCCGCCTCCACCACCTCCTCCACCACCAATAGACTTGCGATGACTGCCGCTGGAGGCGCCCGAAGATTTGTTGGTGCCATAACGCGTGCTATCGCTAGATCTAAAGAAAATATACGGAAAGAGTTTGACGGCGAGATTTTCAAGGTGTGAGTAGTCTATATTAGCTGTACTCGTACATGAAATATTCTTCTTTTTTAGGAGAATTGAAATGAATAATTCTAAGCACTCACCTTTCAGATGAATAAGCATAGTCCTGATCGGCTCCCAGCCCAGAATCGGTGTGTTCGTGTGACACTCGCAAAGCAGAGTTCTCTAGCGGACTGAGATTCGAGCCTGTTGGTGAGATGAAGTCGCCCATACTCATGCTGGACATCATTCTGTGGGGAAAGAAAAGGTGAACATGAAAAATTGAAGTAACTGAATCTAATTTTTAAAAGGGATAGATGTAATTATAAAAAAGATTTTTAAGGCAACTTTTCGTTAGTGCTATTTTGGAAAAACCTATTTTCTATGCTGAATAATTCTACTGAAATCGCAAATGACGTAAGTTGTACACAAATGACATATGACCACGATTCTATTAAACACTACCTCTGTCCCGGCAGTTCCGCGAGAAGAACTTCTGTCTGACTGTCTCGCTGCTTTTATAAGGTTCGAATAATTGAAAAGGATAGACACAGTTAGGAACCTCACGGCGCTGCACAATGGGCCTATTGACTCAAGTGCAAGGATGACTGACCTACGGCCGCATAAACTCAACTCAAATTATGCACCACAAAATAATCGATTACCTGACTAATCCACTATTCCGCTCACATTCCCTCGAAGATATTGTACTGGCAGAGCGTATAGATCCATTTCGACCGCTGTTATTATCAGTCACATTCGAACTTTGAAAGTACAATCTGAAAAGCAAAGAGAAACACTATTAATTTAATGGCTTAAGAGCGGGACTAGATTTGCTTCCCAAGAAGGAAGTGTTGTACGAAGTGTGTTCGATGAATTAACGAAAACTTTTATTTCCTAAAGTTCCCATTAGAGATTATGTACTTTTTTAAGGTCTTTAAGCAATGGGTATGTTTTGTCATATTCAGCTGGAAAACGGGGGTCTTTTATAGAATAAAGTAACACGAAGAAATGTTGGCAAAATATGGATGCTCAGTCATTTTTACAGTATGGGGTTTTCCTAAAGCGAACCGTGTGTATCGGATTTTTTCACGCGAACGGCGTTGAAGGCAGTACTCCCTATTTACCATTTAAGCTGGTGGCAGTAAATGAGCTTAACCTTCGCGCTTAACCGCACTTATCAAAATTCACCATCATATCAGTGCAACCCTGTTATTTTAGTATCAATAATTCCACACCGCCGTTGACTTCATTCAGCGAATTCTAAGCAACTTCCATTCGCCGGTGTTTTTGCTTAAAATTAAAAAAAAATTGGAACAAATTAGTCAGACTCTTGACCGGGTCAGCAGATCTGTTAACCCCAAGTAGAAGATTTCTGAGACTAAGACTAGCTGAGAACAGTAGGTTCCTCCAACGTTTACTAATTGTTCAACTTTATTACGAAAATTCACGTCTTATGGTCAACATAGTCGGCCATCTTGAGACTCAACGTTCATTTGTGGATAATATTCGATCGAATAGACCACGTACAGGATGCAGTGAAGAAAATATAGGGACCTCAGCTGAGAGTTTACACGAAGAGAGTCGATTTGACGCCGTTTGCAGCAACTCGGACTGACGCATGGAACAAATTGGCGCATTTTAAGTCGAGATTTTAAATTGAAAGCCGACAAAATACAGCTGGTGCTGGAACTGAAATCGCACGACCTTCCCAAGAGGCATAGCTTCTATGGGCTCATGACAAGTTCCAAGAAGATCTGACGTTTTCCAGCTAAACTTTGTTCAGCGATGAGACCCATTACCGGCTAATTGGGTATGTAAACAAACGAACTTGTCGCATCTCGAAAAAAGACCAACCTGGTTGTTTGTAGGCGTTTGAAATCATCGGTCGATAATTCTTCAAAAATTATGCCAGTGAGAATGTAACCATTAATGGCGACCGTTATTGTGCCATGATAACCGATTATTTGATGCCTGAAATTGAAGTTCACGATCTCGGCAAAATTTGATTTCCACAAGATTGCGCCACTTCCCACACATTGCATGTGGATTTTTCGAGAAAACACTTCAGTGAGGACATAATTTCAGGTTTTGGCCCGGTCGTTTGGCCACAAATATCATGTGTTCTCACACAATTAGACATTTTCCTGTGGGAACTTCGGCTCAGATCTTGGAGCAGTTACCAGTCGAAAATTGGATTCAACGAATGAACATCCTGAGACGTAGCCTTGGGCAAGATTTGAAGGAGATAATTTTCAAAACAAAAATGCTAAAGAATGTTTTCTCGAATGATAATAAACATTTCCCATTTAATTTCAATTTTCTGTATTTTTTTTACTTTAAAAAATTAGTTAACCTCAAAATCATCCTTTATATATATATTCGCTGGCTTAATTTCGTCTACCCATACTAAATACTTTACGGCCGGGAAGCTATCATAAGCCCCTCGGAGATGAAAATTATTTCGTGATCGAATATTGAAATGCAATCAGTTGACATAAATTCTGTAAGCCTATGAGAGATAATAACAGCGAAATATATCTTATAAATATTCTTTACGTTGAAATGCTCACCTGATACAATCGTTGCTGGTGGTTGGTTGAATAGATTCACATTTTCTAAGAAAATTTAACAATTAAATAGAATACTTAAAATGAAATACATCCCTAAATTAAAGTTCTTGTTTCATAAAGATCTTAAGATAATCGTAGGTCGGTAGGTCATATATACACTTATACTAAAATTGTCATTTTGTAACCGCTAAAGCGATTGTCGGCCGTTCGGTTCGTACTTCCTACAGAGACTAAAATTAGACTGGTCGAAACTAGGACTATCGTTTCTTAAACCTTGAACTTCACTTTGGAATTTTCATTAGAAAGGAGATTTCTTTACATATTAGGCTTTACAGGGAACTCGATCCTGAAATATTGTCTGAAGCTTACTAATTTTCTCAAATTAAATGAAGTCTCAGAAATATTTTCAAAATAAAATTTTTCCTTTTTTAATATTTTCATTATTCTCTCAGATGAACAGCTAGTTTCTTTTCCTCTTCCTCTCTTCTTGAACATGGTTTAAATGATTTTGAGCACAGTCATTTCCAAAAGCTATCTCTTTTCTTCATATAAATTTATTAAAATTTTCAAAACTCACCCTCTAATACGATCCACACGATTCTTGCCCTGTCCACCTGTTGAGCCACTGCCATTTGTCAACGTATTGCCCGAGCCAGTGCTCTTTCCACCCACACTGCCCTTACTGCCGCTTTTATGAAGTTTCATATTCGCTGCGGAACGTTTTGAATTCGTCTCGACCACTGTATAGGGTATTTCGCGCAGCTGATCCTCAGTCATGCCAGCCGTGTCAACCAAATCGAATTGCAAATGTTTCGCCAGTTCGCTGGACCAAATGCGATTACGCGAATCGGAGGGAGATCTAGAGAGAGGTGGGCGAGAGCAAGCTCAGACTGCGTTAGAAAATGCACTTCACTCCACTTGGCCGTTTAACACGATACTTACTTATTCTTACGATGTCGCCGGGATTTGTGATGCGAATGCGTATCCGAGTGACTATCATTGCTGTGCAGACTACGCGCCACCATGCTACTCTTCGAAACGGACGCCTGCTGTACGGAACTCTGACCGAGACTAGCTTCAGCTTGACGACGCTGCACTTCACGCCACTGTGAAGTCGAATCGATTAACTCCGCCGAGCCGCTGCGCACCGATGACGAACGATGGCCCGAGTAGCTCCGACCGCGCGTACTTTCATGATCCGAACCGGCAGAGTCGCGTCGATGACGCGAACGACGATGCTTGCGATGATGGGAACGAGCGGAGCGTCCAGAACCACGCGATAATTCACTCTCATTATCGGAGGTACGCCGATGGCGGTGCTTATGCCTATGGTGCAGCGGTGTTTGATGTAAAAAAGGGAAGAGGGAAGATGAAAAAATAAAATCAAATGAGATTTCTTTTCAATGTACGCGGCGGATCAAGGTTCAGCAATATAAAGCAAATATTATGCCAAATTATTGGTTATCAAAAACATATTTCCACTAAGCAGTTGCCGGTAATGCTGCGATCGTAAGTGCTCTCCACCAAAAGAAACGTCGATCGCACAAGCATTACATTTGCGTCGATTTTCCTTTTGTTGTTGTTCTACTCACCTGCGCGTCGAGCGTGAATCGTTTGACGAATGACTCTCCACTGAACTCGAGCGATAACGTTGTTGCTGTTGTTGAGATGCCGACGAAGATGATACGTGATCGCGATGCGCGGAATGTGACGATTGACGATGCTGTGATGACGAACCGGACTGATGCTGGTGGTGATGGTGGTGTTGGTGTTGATGGTGATGATGTGAGCCGCTACTACCACCACCACCGCTGCCGCCACCTGTTGCAATTGCTGATCGTACGGATCGTGGACTTGAGGGATTATTACCGAATAGTGAACGCTGTTGTGAACGTGGCCATGGTGCGCTACGCGTGCTGCGCGGCGAATCAGGTGTTTGCAAATTACTATTGCAACCGCCGTTATTGCTCAAATTAGTCTGCTGATGGTAGGGCCGTATGCCGAGACTCGTTGGTATGCTGTAGGTGGAACGGTAGGGACTCTCGTAGTTGCTGTGGAAAAAATAGGGAATCAGAAAGATAGTGAGACTGCTGGAGTAGTGAGCTCTACAAGTAACACTAAGCAGGCATATATATGTATGTATGTATTTTTAATTTTTTTTCTCGATTCACGTGATTTTAACCATAAGTGTGCCTATGAATCCAGCTACCCAAGTGTAAGCACCTTGTTCTCATCTCTGCATGTGCTCTTCGTGGGGCTTATTGCACACGTCACGCAGATACTTGAAGCGCACGTGAGTGGGCGTAACCTTGTGCACACACAAGCCCACGAGGACGTACTAACTGAACCAACGACCTACGGTCAGTTTGAGCAATAAATATTAATATGAATTTATTTTTGCTTTTGCTTGGCTTTCGCTTAATTTGTTGTTTGATTAAGCAGCGCAGTGTAATCGCTACACGCCAGGCGGACAAATTGAGTAATTGCCGCTGGCGATAGTACTATGTGTTTGCTTTTGTCGCAGGACTTAATGGAGATGGATGGCGAGTCAATAGTCGAGGGAAGATACAGTTCAATGGGAAAATTCTACTACTACAGGTGCTCATCGGCGATTGGTCCGGTAGATAATTTTTGAATTTTGTTTTATTTTATTGTTTATATTAAAAGATATTTTATTGCATTTTATTGCGTTTAATTGAATTTTATTTCATTTTATGTTCTTTAAAATTATTTAGTTTCTTTTAACTAATATGTTTTATTTAATTTTGCTCAATCCTGGTTTCTTTTCTTGGATTGCTTTCTATTTCATGTTAATTTATTTCATTTTAAATTTTTCTTCTTATTCTTTTATTATATTCGTTTTTTTTAGTTTAGATAATTTAATATTATTACTTCTGTTCTAATTTTTTTAATAAATGTTGTTGTTTTTTGTGTTTTAAGGTTAAATGCTAATTCAGTTTTTCATAATTAATTTAATTTTATATAATTTATTTTATTTATATTTTTCAATTTACATAAATTATTTCATTTTATTTTTTCTCACTTTATTTTATTTTATTGCATATTTTATTTATTGTACTTTATTTAATTTAATTTTTGAATTTAATTTTATATGATTTATATATTTTACTTTTAATTTATGTCTTTATTTTTTTAATATTGAATTAGATGTGCTGCATATATATTTTGTTTATTTTATTTTTTTTGATTTAATTTATTTTAATTTTAAATTAATTTATTTTGCTTTATATTATATTAGCTTAAAATATTTTGATTCAGTTTATTTTATTTTATTTTATTTTAATTTATTTTATTTTATTTTATTTTATTTGTTTATTTTATTTTTGTTTTATTTTATTTTATTTTATTTTATTTTATTTTATTTTATTTTATTTTATTTTATTTTATTTTATTTTATTTTATTTTATTTTATTTAATATATTTTATTTTTTTTTGTTTTGGTTTAAATTATTTGGTTTTATTTGATTTTATTCTATTTAATTTATATTATTTTAATCTTGTCTTATTTTATTTAATTTAATATTTTTTTGATTTTATGTCATTTAATTTTATTCGAATTTGTTTTGTATTACTTAATTTAATTTATATTTTTTATTGCTGTTTTGATGCTATGAGCTTTAATAGAAATTAGGTGGAAATGTAGATGGGCTAAAAGCTTTTCGAAAGTGTTTGCTTAACAGAATATAGTAAAGAGCGCCTGTAGTCGTATCAAAAGAAATGCTTGTAACGAGCAAGTATTTCAAGCTTCGGCTATACTTTTCGAAATATCTATGTTCCAAAGATTTCCCCATAGACATGCTGTAAATTTGGATTTCTTACTTTTCGTAAATAATTTTACTTTCAGAAATCTCATGCGCTGCCACTTCAAAGCAGCACAAACACGCCGATGTGGAGACCAGATTGGTCTTTGATAAATTACAGTACTAAACGAAAGTTTGAAATGTCTAGACGAAACAATTGTCTTTAATTGAATTTTAATGGATTTGCGTCATGTTTTCGGTAGCTCACTTCACATGCTGGCACATACGTTAGCAAATACAAGCTGAATTAGAAAAAAAATCGCTTCATCTACAACCACAAAAATTTGTTTTCTTACCCTTTTCAAATATTTGTAGTTTTTCTATTTTTTGTTTTGGTTGATTTCTTTTTGGCAATCATTCACGTGTGTGGCTATTTTTTTCCTGTTTTTGCCACGTTGAAAGCGAACATCGAAATTCCAGAAGTGCACTTGATTTCTTCGCTAATGAAATGGCAAAATACCAAAACCGGAGAAGAACAAACAAATATAAAAAGACCAACCTCAAGTGTAGAAATGAAAATGAAAGGAAAATGAGTGCAACGCCGCCGAGGAACCGCGGTCAATTGAATCCTTCTGTATGACAAATGTGCCACCATCGAGCAGAAAAAAGCAACTTTTGGTATGATTGACGACGGAACGTGGCTATCCGAATGCAGTGCCAAAAAGGCGTAAAATCAAAGACAAATTAAATGTGGCGGCGAAAAGAAATAAATATTTCAGTTAGCATTGGTGGTGAAATTTCCTAGGAAATATAATTGAGTATCGACCCGAAATTTGTAGCCCAAAAGTAGTTGCTTTATTTACTGGAGAATCGATCAAGTGGTGTGTTTGGTGTTTCGTGAGGTTCTAAACGAAGTTCGTAAAATAGGACGGTTCAGTGACAGTTCATATATCACTTTCCAAAGATCATTGAAGGGAAACGCAGTCCGTTTGATATTTCATGCAGATGATAAAGCAAACCTTCAGGCAGTACCTGTCTACAAGATCAAACAAGCCCGTGTTGCGTACCTACCTGAGCGCAGAAAGATTGAAAACCTCCACCAGTGAGACTGGCTCTCCTACACCAGGTTATGTGTTGGTATAGGTGAAGCTTTACAATCAGTAGAGCTTATTCTTCAAATCGTTATATGCGTCGGTACTTTGAAATCGGCTCCGAACATCTGATGGACTTTTATGCCTAACTTCGTGTCTGACATACATTCGGAGCAGTTAGCGTTACCCGCTTAACAGCGAAAGCATTCAGAAAAAAAATGTTTCTAAAATTTAGCACATTGGTTTGGTATGGTTTCGAACATTTTCGGGTCCAGTGATAGGAAAGGGAACGCAGTTTAACCCATTAAGTTTGATACTCTTCTTGGAATCTTTTGGAGAGAATACAAAGTAGATTTTTTGCTGTTTCGAATGGTTTTGATTGAGAATTTTACGAATTCGATATTATAATCGTGAACTGTAGGCTGAGCTGTTTTTCTATCTGCTAGTGGGTCACTCAAAGCTCTAGCTATAGAAAGTTAAAAATTTCACTCAAATAAGATGAGCCGAGTATTCTAACCAGTTTTTATTCAAACGGTGTTCGTTTGTATCACCAGCTTCCGGTGCAAGAAAAATCATCAAGCTGCCGGAGCGAAAAATCGCAAAACCCAATCGATCACGTTGTGATCAATAAATGTTTTAGTTTCCGCACGCGCCGAACTCCTCATATCCGAATCACTCTGGAACGACTATCTCATAGCAGAAAAAAAACGCACCCGCCTTTGTGAGGCTAAGAATGACAGGAGCTTCGACGTCGAAAAGCTGCAAGCACAACAGACAGTAAAACAGGTTTCTGAATGACTCTCTAAGAAAACTCATGAGCAAATTGCTCAGAGAGGCAAGCTTGAGCGGCTGACCGAAAGGGGTAATGCTCGAAAATTCTATAAGAAATTTTAAGACCAGAGCATAGCCATGCTGAAGCGAAGAGTGTTATCTAATGACCGATGTCTAGAGTAACCAGAATTTATAGAATGGCAGTGAAATTGAAACACTCGAAAATGGCGAATCCGAACCGATGAATTGGAATTTCATTACATAACGAAGTATGAATAGCGCTAAAAGAATAATAAAGAGTGTGAGCTAAAAATTACCGGCCGAGCTATTCAAATAAGACGCCAAAGACAGCTTCTTTGTAAAATATGATCGAAAGAAAGCATGACAAACGCATGTAGCCTAAGTCTCCTCGTGAGATAAGCCTTCTCAATATTGCATATAATTTTCTATCGAGCACATTGTGTCAATGAACCAAATTTACCTTATTAACATTGCTTCGACCTGAAAAAGACCATGAGAAAAGTATCGACACATAACTATTGATTCATTTTAAAACTGGCATCAAAGTATTTTCCTTGTTTGGTTGGTAATATGAGAGATTGATTGAGATCACTCCCCATAAGAATGAACTGTTCTGACACTTTACGGACATCAGAGGGACATTCCTTTAGTGCCCAAGCCCGATATATGTGTGTATAGTGACAAACTTTTCGCCGCTCATCCTTCACAACAAAAAAATGAAAAGAATTGAAATCAAACGAAAACAAATGTGCTGAAAGGGCATTAAAAAGGTCTTAAAAAATATACATTTCCACTTCCATTTCAATTTTTTTTTTTTGGTTTTTTCAAATCATAAACGGTTTATGAGTGCTGCATGCCAGCGAGAGCTTAGCTTTTTGAGTGCTTTTGTGCATAGGATAAACTTACTTTGGCAACATGTTAGACGTTTGCATTCCCACACCGCCGCCACCGCCGCTGACATTATGATAAACGCTGCCGTTGCCATCAGTGACGCTGGTGCCATTTCCATGACCGACTACTCCTTTGCCGTTTTTCAGGGTGTTGCTGGCGCTTTTACTACCATTCAAAAAGTCATCAATCACGCGTCTTGGCTGGCGTTTCGAGGGGACACGTGTAAATGCCGGCTGTATGCGGCCCAAGTTGAAGCCATCCTTGGCCGATGGCTGCTTCTCCGAACGACTGCTGTATGTGTGTGGACGTGGTGAGCATATGCAATGCAATGGTGTTTGGCGGATTGGTTGGTCGGTTGTTGGGTTGAACAAATGTTGTTTGGTCGAAAACAAAAATAGTAAATCAATCCATATTTGTTACGGATTAACAGGTTGATTGGTTGCGGGAGATGTGATGAAGATGATTATTTTGTTGAAGTTTACATACATACATGAAATGGAATAAAAAGAATAAAAACGTACAATATGTGGTTGGGTAAAGAAGAATAAGTCAAAGTAAAACTATAAAACAAATGAAATTACAATTCAAAGCAAAAGAAGTCGGCGCAAATACGTAACATACGAGTATATATATTTATGCGTAGTTTTTCATTCGCCCTAACATGTCTGGGATCATAAAAATAGCGACGCAAGCCAACACGCCGCTCTTGTGACCCGACCGCAGTTGCCAAGCCTGTGGCTGCAGACAAATGAGACGCACCCCAAGTAACCTTGTCGTGACGAATGTCGTAAAAAGCCACAGCAATCAGTGGAGACAAGCAAAAAATTTATACAACAACAAATAAAAACTACAAAAATAGTAAAAAATTACGCGTTTGGCGCATTGCCACTCAAGCAGTGATCCGTCTTCGGCGGTTGAATTGTGTGTGTGTGTGTGTGTACAAACTGAGATTGGTATAGAATTCTGCATAAGTTGTTCTCATGCCTAATTTACCAATGCTTCAATTTTAAAATAAAAGTTATATATTGTGTTACGGCAAAGTTCCCTGAATGGCTGTTGCTCTCCTGCCTTTCATTATTCTCAGTTTTTCTGTTATGCCAGCTTGCTGAGACTTGTCGAATTAAGCACAGAAGCCTTGGTGGATCTTCCTAAGAGTCTATTGAAAGACACCTCTTGAGCTAATTTTATCTCATTGAAAGCTTTGGGGCCTTAAAAGGCCGATGTAAATTTTTTTAAGACCCTCACCTCTCGGTAGGACATATGACGCTTAGGTTCCGAAAAACTCTTCAAAGTGTGAAACAGTCTTTTTGCTCTACTGAGAATGCAAGACGCTCTGTGCATATTTCTAGCATGTAGAAACTCCCACCTGATATTTAGTGACTTCCTGAGCAGTAGGCCCCTCAATTTGTTTAAAAACCCTCTAAGTTCATATCATTAATAAAATATAGGCTTGGTCCAAGATCAGTTAAATAAAGACCCACTGGGGATGAGAAGATCGGGAGAGTGAAAAAGCCTCTGAGTATAAACCAAGCTCTAGGCTTGGACGATGATCACATCTCATGAGTCGGCCCTAAGAGTCTTCGAAATAAAAGTTTTACGAATGATTTATGGTCCTATTCACATTGGCAACGCCGAATACCGCAGTCGATGGAATGATGAACAGTACTAGCTATGTGATGATATTGACATAGTTCAGCGAATCAAGTGACACAGCGGCTACGCTGGCTAGGTCATGCCGTCCGAATGGATGGAAGCACTCCAGCTTTGAAAATATTCTATGCAGTACCCGCCGATGGAAGCAGAGGATGAAGAAGACCTACACTCCGTTTGGAAGGATCAGGTGGAGAGTGAACTACCGCCAAACAGCGAAAATAAGCGATGAATGGCGCACTAATATTGATTTGGCTTTAATCGTGTAAGCGGTGCCAACGCCAATAAAGAGAAGAAGAAGTAATTGAACGGAAATTGAAGACCACTACTGTCTTTGTAAGAAAGTTTCTCACGCTAAGCTTGCCTTTCGATTAAAGGAAATACGAATATTCTCATGGCGCGACTTATCGACATGTAGTGGCCATACCTTCGTGATTATTTCTGTTACGAAGAGCTTCTTCTAAAAATCTTTAAATCATCAACTAATATTTTAAGATACACATCTATTGGAATCCCAGTTAAATTTGTGGTGGTTTTTGGCATATTATCTTCCACCCTGCAAGCCTCAACTGTGGACCAATGTGAGAGCTATCTCAGTTGTAAAGAAATTTACAGCCAGTAACTGCTTCTATATGTTTCATATTCTTTCGTTTTTGCAAACTTTCAATAGTCTTCATTATAAGTTCTTGAAAAACTTTTTAGCGTTTTTCCGTCTTTTCATCAGCGCCTTGGATTTTTGCCCAATGAGTGAGGGACAATCCCTAAACTATGGTCAGGTATTTTCTAGCTCTCCGTAATCACAGAATGTCGCAGCTTTTCTATATTATTATTGCTAAAAGAATTTCTTTCAATGTCAGGAGGAGCAGTTCAGGGTTTTTGCTAGTGTGACTTTGAGCCCCTTGCGAGTTCAGCCACACTTTTATTCTTTTCAACTCGTTAGGCTTAATCTCTTGGCGTCTGGAAAAGACAAGCTATGGAAAAAAATATTTTCAGCTCATAGAACACATTAACTCCTTAATTTAAGAGCGCCCATATAACACTGAATCACTCTCATAAATGAACCCATCCACATGAAGGTTTTCCTAAACCGAAGTAATAAGTTTGATTCAAAAGCTGAAGCCCAAAAGGCATCTGGGCTGTGACCTGATTACAAGTTACCTATTAGAACATTTACTCCATTAGGGCGTTACAGCAGTGCTTGAAAGGAGATTCCTTACCGCTCAATGGAAAGTGTTGTGTGAAAACGATCACTTAACTGTCTTAACTGTGTAAAGCTGTCTATAAAGTAGAATCATATCGACACATTTGTTTATTGCGCACTATAACCAAGAAGAATCTGCTTCCAGTTATTAACCAGAAAGGTCTCATAGTTCAATAGAACAGATTCAAAGACTTGTCTATATAGGGAAGAAAAAGAATACTGCAAAGCTGCTATTCTCGATATCTTACAAGCATGTTTGTAAACTAAAAAGTCTCTCACGATTAGTTACTAAGTTTTTATTCAGTTTGATGTGAAAAACCAGCTTTTCTATGTTAAGCATGGAGAGAAACAGACTGATTCTAGGACTGTCTTTAGACATAGACTCTGCAATGACATTACTTAGTGGCTTAAAAAACTGGCGTATCAATGAAACTAAGTATTTTTTAATTACATTTACAATAAAATCTGTCCACTAGCCTCAGTCAATAACCGCTGAAGAGAGTTTCATTCGAGCTCCACCTCCAATTTGTGGCGTGGAGCTTGATGTTTTTCCAGCAAAAAAAAAAGAAGCTACAGCTTACTCCAAGCCGAGCAGCGGTGGTATTTTCATGGAAAGCCTTTTTTTAAGTCAGAAGTGCACTCGAAGAGCTGAATATTTCCTGCTGAGGAGGATAACTGCAATGATAAAAATTAATTTTCTTTAATCTAGGATGTTGGTCGGAACAGAACTTGATACCTGGAAATTACGTCTCAACAATGTGCGCACACCTGGGAATAAAAAGGTTAAGTACTTTGGAATATATCTTGGTTAAAGACTCACTTAGGGAGCACGCATATTTAAAAAACGTGTGGTCATCGAACTGAAACTTGGATATTTGTGTCGATTACATTTTTGGATCTAAGGGATTTCGCTACGATCTTTGAGAACATCCTACATAAAGGAGTTAGGTAGATCGGCATGAAAATGGCGTACAAGAAAGACACTTGTAAAAGTAAAGGTTTTTCAATAGAAAATTATCAGCTCTGGTGAGGAAAAGAGTAAATTTGTACTGAGTTCATCATGCCACGGGGTAATCTTTGATTTCTATTTTAATATCAGCAGAGCATCGAAGTCATTCTAAGTTAGTAGATGAAATCAATTCCATGAACCTCGAATAAATTTAATTAATTTTAATTTTTTTCGAGTGTGCACACCCAGTTCTTTGTAACCCTGCATTTTTTATTTTTTTTGCTAATTTGCTCTCGTGCACGCGCTCCCATCTTCATCAGCTCCTTCTGCCGTCGCTCTTTTTATTACAGTTGATCACTATTTTTTACGATTTATTTTTATTATTCATTCCAATGCGTTGTTGGCAGAAAATTTATTGCTCACCTCTGGGAAAAGACCAATAACAGCAACAACAGGGATTTATATTTGTAGCGTTGGACCATTGTCTCAAGTGGCAGATATGCTTACTTAAGCGCATACATATATACATATACATACATATGTACATATATGAACACTTTTATTAGACTTTTTCACAATTAGTTGGAGGTTGAAGCCTGCAAAACTCTCAGCCAAAGCTGCATTTGCCACTCACAGATTGGCAAATTAGTAATGGAGAAAGAAGTATGTGAATTGCACAGATAACAGTGTTGAGAGAAAATGAAAATTTGATTTTACATTAATACATTAACGGTGTAAGAAAGTATAAATAAAATTTTTATTTTTTTGCATTTCAAATTTTGAGGTTATAATATTATTAATTATTTTTTTTTAAATAAACAAAATTTTTTTTCGATTTTTTCTAGATTTAACTTGAATGACCTTAGTAAAAAGTAATCCATTATTTTTACAACATAAAGCTTTACTGGTCTGTATCTTGCGTTCGATAAGTGCGATTGAATTAGGCCAGACGACGTCGGAAAGATGATATTTTTTTACTAAATAAGATAATGCGATAAGTATTGGACCCTTAATTCAGTGGTGATTGAGTGCATGTCAAAGATGGACACCAGCAGAGAGAAAATTCGCTTACTCTATAAATCTTTCTTCGCTAAAGGCGAAAACACAAGCCACAAGGCATCTGAAAATGTGAATGAAATTCAAGGTCCTGCTATTATTTTAGTCAGTAATGCATAATTTCGGTTTCGTAAAGGATGATCCACAGGGCGGAAGGCCAATTTTCGATCGTCTCGATCAAATAATGGAAAAATATGAGATTGCCCGTCATGCGTACATGTTTCAATAATTTAGGACAGATAAAGAAGAAGAAAAACAAACCTCATGGATGGAGCTTCCATTGACGGATCACTGGTGCGTGAAAATAAAGTCGTTTCGTTTCTGAAACTGATGTTGACTGGTGATGAAAATTTAAATCACCTAGAGCAACGTCAAACCTGGTTAAAGGACAGTGAATCGGTTTCAATCCAAGAAGGATTTGCTGAATGTTTTTTGGCGGGATTGGCAATAAATCCACTAAAAGCTGCTCGGCTTTGGCTATACTCCTAATTCAGACCAGTACTGTTAGCAATTTGACCGTCTGAGCGAAGAAATCGTCTAGAACCGCTCAGCTTTAGCCAATAGGAAGAGAAGAAGAAGAGTTTCATCAGAACAAGGCAAGAGCACACACGTCGATAGCGATTCGCCACGAGCTGCGCGAGCTTGGTTGGGAGGTTCTTATGTATTCGCCATATAAACCGGGCCCCTCTATACAGAAACAACTGGCAGATGAAAAATTAGACTCAAGAGAGTACTGCCAAAGTCGTTTGACCCAACTTTTTGAGAAATGGATAAGTGTTTCTATGAGGGAAGCTAAATAATATTGCCGTCAAAATAGCAAAAAGTTATCAAATACAGCGATGCGTATTTGACCTAAATCGGATATTACTAAAACCTCAATGTGATGCAAAAATAATGGTTTTCTTCTTAATAAAATATTCTGGTTTTAAAAAGAGGTTAACGAATGAATAAATTTGAATTAAATTTAAACAAAAATTGCTGCACAACTTAACTTTTGACAACAACACAACAATGCTTGGAGATAAATATTTTTTAAAATTTTTTAAACATTCTTCTGTTTCAAACATCAATAATAAATGATTACTTTCATTATTTTAATGAATTTCTGTTAAGAATCTGAATTAGCTTTAAATGTAAAAAAGTTTGTTCGTTTATTAAAAAATAATTCAACATACTAATTTTTATATTTTAGCTACTCTGCGCATAAATACGAATTTTAAGCGCTCTTTTAAGGTATTTTCTGTGTCGAGTTTTGCGAAGCTTAGGTCACTGTAGTCGCAGTTGTTGCTGATGAGCTAAGGTTGTTTTAATGACCTCAAAGCAGAAAGTGTAAGAGATATGTATGTGTGCTCCTATGTTGTGTTGTGTTTGTATGTGTATGGTGTTGAAAATCGTCTCATTTGTAAGAAATTTAATGATTTCAAATGTTTGTACGCCTTTAATGAGTGGGGTCAGTTAGCTCGTATAAAAGGAACTTGAAAAATAAGTACTTTACAACCATACACGTATGTACGCATATGTGTGTATGCTTACTCATTTATGTGTTTGGCAATAAAATTTGTTTATTTTTACAAGCACAACTTGTTGGAGGGCTTACAAATAAATTAAAATTTTTGATGAGCTTAGCTCCTTTATGTGGCAACACTCGTTGATATGAAAACAGTTTCGCAATGAATTGGGTACTTTCTCAAGTGGTTGGTGTAGCCTTGACGAAGTTGGAAACTTGCCTTGCAATAGAAGTATATAAATATATATATATATATATATATATTCCCGTTTCACATATTGATTTTTTTGAAAGTTTTTAAAAAGCTTACGAAGACATTTATATTATTTTATTCATTACCAATAGTAATTTCATTAGCTTTGTTTTATTTTAGTATAGTTAGCTTAATTCAGCTTATTTGATTTGTCTTCATTTTAATTAAAATTTTTATTTTCATTTTAATATGATTTAACTTCCTTTTATTATGATTAAATTAAATTAATTCAATTTATATTTATGCCATTGTTTAGTCCTTATGGAGTTGTCTCAGACCATTTATTTTTGGAATAGTGACAAAGTTACAACAACAGCTTGGACGATGCTGCTTGATCGTGAATATGTTGGTAAAGGGGAAAAGTGAAAAACAGCAACAAGTGAAAGCTGCTGTGGCCATCTCAAGTTTGGATCCAATTCGACAAGGTTGTCTAGAAAAGTAGACTGATCAGAAAACTTGGTGATTTTCGCTTTATCAGCTATAACTTCTACCGTCCAAATTGTTGTAAAAATTCACTTCTTCTTCACTATCCCAAAAATCAGTGGTCTGAGCTGGAGCAGTTTCCATAAAAACTAAGCTAAATTTAATTTGAATTTATTTAAAATAACTATTTTATTAAGCTTTATTTTTTTAAATTAATTTAATTTAACTTAATTTTTTTTATTTTCAGTAATTTTATTTTATTTTATATTATTTTAACTAATTTGATTTCAGATTTTTTATTTTCATTTAATAAAAATTATTTTAATTTTTTTTTAATTTAATTTATTTTAATTTATTTGAATAATATTTAATTTAAGTAAACAAACTTTAAAATTTTATTTAATTTATTTAAGCATTATTCAATTTTTAATTTAATTTTATTTGATTTTAGTTGAATTTAATTTATTAAATATTTGAGTTAATTTAATAATTTAATTTACATATGTTTAATTTTTTTATAAATTTAATTTATCATATTGTTGCGAAAATGTGAGGCGAATGTTAGATGAAAGAGAGAAGGCGATAACTAGTACATTCTAGAAACGATAAAACAAGAACCTTCGATAGCAAACAACTCGATGATTCTACGCTTTCGTCTGCGAGCAGCCGACTGCTATATAAGGGCGACACTCAGCTATCAAATCAAGTTAGTTACAAAGTGAACTCGTTGGCGTTAACATAAAGTATAGCGGAGTAAATGGGTTGGAAATTACATTTAAGTAGAGTAAATTGTGAAATTTGATGATAGTGATTGTAAATAGTAAAGTGCATTGTAATTGAATGGTGAATTACTTAGTAAATAAAGGACATTAGATAAATTCCTTGTAACGAAAGAAACTGCAAATTAAGTTGGCAAGTTTTATTTAACAATCCAGAGATCGTACCCGAGGATTCAGAAAATCATCGACGTTGATTAACAGAATCGTAACAATATTTTATCTCATTTTATTTGGTTTTGTCTTATCCTTTTTTTAATTTTGGTCTATTTTATTGCATTTATGTTTATTTTATTTGATTTAATTAATTATATTTGATTTTTTAACTTATTTTAATTGTATTATTCTTATTTAATTCAATTTAATATAAATTAAATTTGTTTCACTTTTTTAATTGTATTTAATTCAATTACGTTTCAGTTATTTATTTTGTTATAATCTTTTACTTTACATTTCTTATTGAAATAATTTTTTTTGTAACTTTGTTTTAGTTAAATTTCATTTTCTTTTAAGCTATTTTAGTATTATTTTATTGAATTTAATCTTTTAATTTTATTTCATTTTATTTTGTTAAATTTTACTCAGTGTCTTTAATTTTATTTTATTAAATTTTATTCAGTGTTTTTCATTTTATTTAAATATATTTAATTTAATTTATATTTATTTTATTTTATTTGGTTTTTTATTGTTTAGCTTAGATTATTTTATTATATATTATTATTAATTATTTGTTAGTTGTTTTATTTTTTACGTTTTAATTGTATTTAATTGTATTTTATATTATTTTATTTTATTTTGTTTAATTCTAAATGGTTTTATTTTTGTTTAATTTCATTGTATGTTATATTATATTATTTTATGACATTATATTTATTTTTTTAGCTTATTTTAATATTATTCTAGTTCTAAGCATTTCTTCATTATAGTTTATCTAATTTTATTTTATCTATGTTTACACATTTTTATATTACTTTATTTGCTTTTTTTGTCTTGATGTATTTTATTTTAATTTATTTAATATTTTTTTATTTCAACTTATTACTTTTTCTTTATTTATTTTCTTTTTATTTTTTTCTTTTACTTTTTTATTTGATTTTGTTTTTATATTTATTATTTGTTCGTACGCTGATTTTCATAATTGCTCTTCGCAAGCTCTCTTAGATAATTTTTTTTTCTATGGGCAGACTTCCTACACACTCCTTTCTTCCCTTACGCAAGCATTAAGCCAAGCCACCCTTAAATACTCACCTGTAACGCAAGCGTGAACCGAGTTGAAATAAATCCGAATTATTTGATTGTGAATTGGGCAGCGGCGCAATACGAACCATGCGAAAGAAAGCGTGATGCTCCACACAGCAGCGCCACAAGTGTTTGCACGCAGATTTACGTGGCGTCTCAAAACCGTATGTACTGAGATCATTCTGTGGAATTGAAAAAAATATTAATAAAATTTTTAAAGATTCTTCGTGTTAAGTGATGATCACAAAAATGCATGTTTTAAAGTAGTTTTGTGATTTTTTCCAATAAATACTTTTCCCTTGCAGCCAGAAACACAATCTTCGGTTGTTGCACCAGAAGTAAAAATCAAACGAAAGCATTTCATGAGTGATAAAAATCATATTTGATCTTTCGAACTACATAGAGAGGTCAATTTTGGTGCTTGACTGTCATTTCTATAGTAGAAGTGTTCTTCAATCAATCTCAAGCTTGAATAATGATATTTTTGGGAAATCAATTTTCTAGTTAAAGTTTTGATTTTAATACTAAGAACTTCCATTAAAAGTAACTTAATGACTATCGTCTTTCGAAGGCACATAGTCATTTCAATTATATTGTGTTTTTTGCTATTTGAAACAGAAAAAAAGGTGTTTTGAAGACTGGTTACATAGAATGCTTCCCAGAACACTTTAAGGGTTAATAAAGGTACCTTGTATAAATATTTGTAGTAAGCGGAACAACTTGATTGTCATCGTACATACATACAGACTTGCTATGGTCTGTGAGAAGTTTCAAGCGCTTCTTAAACTGTAAATTCAAAAATGCTTTCGCATCACTAAATATATTTGAACTTGACGGCATTAAAATATGCAAACACATAACACTGTGCCACAGCACCAACAGCCTTATTCCACTTTTTTTTCGCGAAATTTCAAATAAATGCTTTTAACGTGCGAAAATCCCATTCAACAAATATTTTCCTCAAGTGGTTTTGGTTTATAAGAAAACAGCAAAGTCAAGTGAATATTCAAGTAATACATATGTATACAAGTGGAAGTGTATACACGTATATATATGTATATGTGTGACAACTGGTACTCGGATGTGTGCGTGTAAGCGCCTACGCATCTTTAGTGTAAACAGTAAGCGTACTTAAGGCTTTTCAACGGATTTTCTTGAGCGTAAAATGCCTTGACACTTTGGCAAAGACGGCGGCGACGCGACGCATTTAAATTGTATAGAAATATATATATGTATTGGTAAATATGTACGCTTTTTACACTTTACAAAAAAGTAAATTTCCATCGCGGCAAAGAAAGCGATTCTAAGTGCTCCTTAAGAAGCACCATAAAGAAATTGAATTTATAAGTACAAAACTACTTTAAATAGTGTCTGAGTGTGTAGCTGTGTGTGTGTGTCTGAGTGTGTGCAGTGTATAAGAATTTTGAATGCAATGAATATAAATAGAGTATTTGTATTTGTATGTTTGTAAAAATATGTTTAGTAGTGGATTTACATTTTTATCGCTTATCCGCAGCATGAAATAGCGTCCTTTGTAGTAAACTTTGGCAATACGCGGCCAATAGTAATGAGCCACCGTCGTCTTATTCCGCAACACCACAATGCCACTTGGCGTCAAACCCAGAAAATACTCCACGCTGTCCTCGCCCTGTTTCGATGAAAAAATAAAAATAGAGAAAAAAAGAATATGAATAACTGTGTAGAGTGGCTAAATAATAAGATATCACAAAGTACTAAAAATAAATTCGTACTGTAGCTAACAACAACAAAAATCAAATTTTAAAGATATACAAATAGGAAGTTTTCCAAGGAGTCTTCTATGAGTTGCCTAACTTTATTTATAGGAAATAAAAAATAAGAAAGAAAATTAAAAAAAAAATTCAAAAAAACTAATAAAAAAACCATAATAATAAATAAAGCATAAAATGAAAAAAATTAAATAAAAAGGTAAGGATGGAATAAAACAATACAAAATAAAATACAAAAAAATCAAATCAAATCTAAGACAACAAAATAAAAAAATGGAATAAAAAAAATAAAATAAATTAAAGAAAAATAAAATTGATTAAAATTAAATAAAAAAATAACAGAGAATATAAATTAATATAAAACAAATTAAAATTTATGTTATTATTAAATTAATTTAAAAGAAATTAATATAAAATATTATGCAACCAAATAAAATGAAAAATTAAATAAAATAAAAAAAATTGTAACATAAAGTATAATATAACACTTTAAAATATATAAAATAAAAATTACGCAAAATAATGTAAAGTAAAATGAAACCTAATATTATATAATAAGCGATAATAAAATAATAACAGTAAAATAAAAAAAAATAAAAATAAATAAATAAATAAAAATGAAATGGATAAAATAAAATGAATAAAAAAAAATAAAAAAATGAAATGAGTTAAAATTAATCAAGTAAAAAAAAAATTTAAAGTAAATAAAAAAAATAAAATATTATAAGACACAACAAAAAAAAAAGATGGTTTCATTTCATGTTTTATTTATTTTTTTTTTAAATCAAATCATATAAATAACAAAAAATCAAATAAAATAAAATGAAATAAAAAAAAAATTAAAATACAATATAATAAATTAAAACAAAATATAATGATAACAGTTAAGTAATAGGTAAAATAAAATATAATAAGCTAAATTTAAAAAATAAATCTAAGTTAAAAAAAAAATAAAATATAATAAAATCAATAAAAGAAAATAAATTAAACTAAATTAAAAAAAATAAATTATTTATAACAAAATGAATAAAACAAAATAAATTAAAAGATAAAAAGTTAGAAAAACTAGAATAAAGTAAAACCAAATGAAATAAAATACAATGAAATTCATTAATATAAAATAAAACAAATTAAAATAATGAAAAAATGAAATAAAACATGTAAAATATTATGAAATAAAATACAACAAAATAAAGTAAGTGAAATAAATAAATTAAAATAACAAAAAGGGTTAAAAGAAAAAATTTACAAAAAAACAAAGAAGTAAAAAACACGATAAAAACAAATAAATATAAAATTAGAAAAGTAAATAAAGAAAAAAAGCAAAAATATTAAATAAAATAAAATTCGCGTTGAGCATATAAAATTAGTTTCAAACAGCAAAAAACTTTGACCATAATATCGTTAAAGGTATAAAACACTGTAGGAAGAATGTTCTTTTCACTTGGTTGAATTACACACCGAAAAGTTCTACAAGTTACACAAGCATGCCAAGTTTTGTAAAGAGGTTATTAAAATTCAATAAAGTTATTAGCCATGTCTTGTTCGCCCCTCCATTCGCTCTTTTTCTCGTTACGTTTATACCAGCTCTAAGCTATTATATTTGTGACGCAGCAGAGAGGATGGCTGCCTGATGACGGTCATTATCACTAGATTTTGCGTTGAAGTTCTTGCTTTTTGCACTACTCTAACAGTGACTTTATGCCTTATTCTGCTTTTATATTATTGTGTTCTTCTTTTCTTTGTCGTCAAGTTTGACCTTTCAATGAGTTAAAAAAGTTGTGTGCGAGAATTTTACAGTTGCGCTTCAATGGCAGAGTAGCTACGGTTGGAGGTGATAATTTGCTGTGAATTTATTTTTATATTCCTTTTGACACTTTTTGTTGTGAAGCTAAGTTTTTATTAAACTTTTCTTTAAATATTCTTTCTTTAATTTGTTGGAGACAGAAAATTTGTTGTTATATGTTCATTTCATTAGTTAAATTACTTTCAAACACTTTTTTTGGCACCTTTTGCAGCAGTTTTTATTCATTTTATGGCTTTATTAGGAATGTGGCTGCCTCTCCTTCGGAGAGAGATTCTTCAGTAAGAGACATTAAGCACATGAAAGGACATACAGATCGATCGTATAAAGGCTTTGAATTACGCCATATTGTTCTATGACCCATTGGCAATACAAGAGCATCTCGGAAGAGAATATCCCTCATTTGTAAAGATTTACTCCATAATAGACAGAAACTCTTTTCGGTTGACAGCAGATAAGTTCGCGGTAGCCACCATAATAACATCTTCTACCTACAATAAAAATAGAGTACCCTTACTTATAGCTTTCTTTCGATATATTTATAAAAAATCCATAACTTTCAAGCTCTCGGCCTGAAAAACATTTAAGTGCCCGGCAGCTGAAAGAAGAATTCAAATATGGACTTAATGGGAGATGCAGAACATAATTTTCCTTCGAAGTTTCAATCTTGCATGCAGATCTTATCTGCAGTCCTACCAGCTGTTTCTTTAGAACGCAGAGCCTTTATGTTAGTGGTGTGTAACTCACACACTCTCCCTGCACCTACTTCTATTTTATGGAGAAACTGATACCCGTTCTATCTTGATAGTCTTCTCCAGCATCATCCCTTCATACCGTCGCTACGCACCAAGCTGACCGCGGAACTTGAACTGTTTTTTAAGACGACATGAATACTTCTTAAATACGCATTCTCAAAACCAAAACGTCCAAAAACCACCTAAATTTATTACCATTAATAAATTCTTCATAAGTCGAGGGTAATTATTTCTTAGTTGAGTTGCTCAAAATTAATCAATTTATGATTCGGAATGTATGAACGTGCATATGTACATACATATATATATATGTAAATTATGAAAATATCCTAGGCGTCATAAAACTTTCACTCGCTTATTTATTAAAACACTAAAATAATAAAAGACGAAGGAAATTTAGTGATAACGGTACACAACATTCCAAGTGGGAAAGTAGCTGAAAATAAAAAACCTACACGCAAGAAAAAAATTAGGTAAAATCATAGACAGATGAGAAACATAATGAAAGGATACAGGGTGTGGCAATTATTTAACATTTTCCGACGGGAAGTGCTGAAATACGCAAGGAAACTTGGCTAAAACTCGCTTAAAGCACCACCGATTTAGCTGATAAAAATTCCGATATGCATACATACCTATGTATATATTTACAATATATTTACATATACAAGCAGCGCTTTTCTGTTCGCCTGTGAACAGCAGCAGGCATCGGAAGGTGATTTATTTGCTCACGATATCAAAAATACCATAAAAAATGTAAATGAAGCGAAAATTTACGCAAAAGCATAAAACGGCGCAAGAGAAGTACGAAGAGGAAAGAAAGAGAGAGACACAAACAGACTTTGTTGCTGATGTTCGTCAGTCGTTTGTCGTTGAAATATGCGCGTATAATGGCCAGGACAACATAAAAAAATGTATAGTCCGCCGAAATGGTAATAAAATCAAGGAAGGAAAAGCAAACCAAATTGGTCAAACAGTCTCTCCCAACCGGCAAAAGTCGGCGACAACAACTGCCGAAAAAGTGACAAATTACCGGGTGTCGAAATGAAGTAATGAATGCATGCAATGAATGAAAGAATGAATGGCAAAATAAATGCTCGGCTTCATGGGAGCTTCGAGGCTGTCGTGTATCTCACCCTTCGTTGGGTTTATGGACTAACAAAATGTTGAGGGTGTCGTGATGTTTTATTCCTTGAGAGGCTGTTAATGATAAGAATATGCGCTATAAAATGCAAGCATGTGAAACATAAAACAGAAGTAAAAGAATACCAAGGATAAAGCTAATAAAAAAAAAACAAAATAATTGAAATAATAAAATAATTGAAATAATAAAAAAAAATAAAATAAACCAAAATAATATAAAATAAAATAAAATAAAATAAAATAAAATAAAATAAAATAAAATAAAATAAAATAAAATAAAATAAAATAAAATAAAATAGAATAAAATAAAATAAAATAAAAAAAAAAACCAAAATAAACTAAAATAAAATAAAATTAATAAAATAGATGTAAAAAAATGTTATAAAATAAATTTAACAAAATAAAATAAAAAAATTAACCAAATAAATTAAATTAATACAACATTAACTAAAATAAAAGGATGAAAACTTGTTAGCGGTATGCTGTTGTTTTCAAAATATTGTTTTTTTTTTAAATTAATGAAAAAATTTACAATAAGGTTATTATATTTAAACTATATTCTGGGAGTATTTAATTGATGCTTTTTGAGACTTGTGCTTTTAAATACACATAATACTTTTATCATTCATTTGTCTGCATACTTTTTGCTACTCTTTCCGCTAATCACACACATACTCTCTAATTTTCTCCGTCGCTTTGATCTCTATTTACAAATCAATAGCCAACAAGAAAAATACATCAAACATCAACATCAACATCAAAGAAATGTGCCATGAACAACACGGACATTAATAGATTTTCAATATGTGTTTTGTATTTGTTGTTTTTTTTTTAAATTTTTTCTTCCTATTTTCAATTAGCATTTTCAGTTCACTTACCAACACCGGATGCAAATCCACACCATACATATCATGCCATTTGACTTTGTCTAAATAATTTAGCTCCGCTGTCGCTGGTGACATGCCCATTAATTGCTGATGTAGCTCGGCGACACGTGTTTCCAGTTCGCTGCTCTGATTCGGCAGCAAACGAAACTCGGACACATAACCTTTGGAGTGGCGTCGTTGGTCGTAATCTCCCAATTCAGCTGTAAGATTCAAAGGGAAAATACGAGTCGGTTAATGGGCGATGGCGGAAAATGGGTATTAAAAGAGATATGTAAATGTGAAGTAAGTAACATAACAAAAATAAAAGACTAGAAAAAAATTAGTGTAATATTTTAAATATATTTTTTTAAATTTAAGTGGGTCTATAAAGGAGAGCTTACACATCAAAATGAAAATCTTAAGAGAAAATTTTATATTAATTTATGAAGACGAGGCTCGGATGGGAAACCACACATTCATTCCACTCGATTACTGTTAAAATAGTATTGAAATTTATATTTCATGGATCAGTAATTATCTATTCAAAAAGCCGCACGCAAATATATTTGGTATATTTTCAGAGTTCATTTGGAAAGGGCTGGAAGGCATTCGCACATAAGACTGACTTGTGGAAAATATTCAACATAATTTTCCTTTTGTGCTATCGTTTTCAAAAATATATCTTTAGTTTCAATAATCTGATATCTGGAAATGGACAGATCAAAGGTTTAACGAAAAGGCTCACTACCTGGCCTTCACCCGAAATCCACACAGAAATCTTTAAGGCTAAAAAATAGCTCGTATTGTTGCTAATGAAAGCTAACTTCACAAAGACTTGGATCGAAATAGGGAGGCGACATCATCTTAGAAAGGGTTATGTTGTCTGTATGTCTGATGAAATGCCATACAAAATGTCGTTATTGCTGTTATGTAATTCTAAGAGTTCAACTTTTAATGTCTCATGTCTTCTACATGAAACCCAGCTATAACAATTAAAGCTCGAAAATGATTTAATAAAAACTGGACTTCTCATTTGCTTTACAACTTTAAAGCATTACATTTCCCTTCTTATTTTATCGTTTCACATATATTTACTTATGCAGATACATACTGAATATACGAATCTCCTTTAATTATCTCGTTATGTGACTAAAAATACTCATTATATGTTAAATGAACTTGAAAATGATTGCAACTCATACGCCTGAGTGACTGGAAACGACTAAAACGAGCTGAAAATGTTGTTGATTTCGATATAGCATTAATTGTAGGTGTTGTTGTTGTCGTTTACTGCTGTGCAGTTGATGGGGCACTGATTGCCTCTTTGCGCCTCATTAAGTGATTTTAATAAAATACTATAAATTTTGTTAAGTCAATTGCTACTTATTAATAATTTGCATATAACGAATCCGAGAGGACTTTAATGGCAAATGAGAAATAGTAATTTTGTTTTTGTATTGTATTTATTTGTGTGAGAGTATTTATCTTGGTTTATAGGAAATTGAAACTTTTACTTATATTTAAGGGGTGGGTTTATGTGGAAATAAATTTATGCAAAATTCAATTATATACATATGTTGATACGAAGGCTGGCGGACGTTTTCGCGACCTAAGGTAGTTAGAGATGACACATAATCTTGTAACTGATAAATCTAATTGTGGTACTCATTATTAATATAAAAAACACACTTTTTTTTAAATTAGCAAGGAGCAACAACACTGAGTCAACGGAAACTGGAAATTTTCGAAATTTGGAGCACCGGACGGTGACTGAATTCCTTGTAAAAAAAAGGAAGCACGCCGAAAGAAATTTTAAAGAGAAATTTTAAGAAAAAATTAGTATTGGCTGATCGAAGAATTAAATTGTGGTAGGTAGGAGAAAGATTATAGATTAGCAAAGAAGAAGCTCGAGGGATTTTGCATGCACATTTGTATATGAAAAATATTAGTGCGCCTTGGGTACTGCGATTGTTCACGTCGCTCGACAAGCAGCGCCTATTGGAAAGTTGTAAGGATTTTTGGAAATAGTGCCAAGATGATTTGGATGAAATTTGTAACCGCAATATAACCCTCGTTGAAACTTGTATTCTTCAGTATGATCCCGAGTCCAAACAGTAGTATATTAGTCAATACAAAAAGGGACCAAGTTTATGGCTAGCAATTTCTGAGATCACGAGGGAATATTATTAAGGGGTTATATAGATCTTGAAACTTTAAAAAATTCATTTTTTTTTTTGATAATTTTTTAAAAAAGTGCAAAGTGTCAGAGATATTTTCAAGTCGATTGAGACGAAACTGTAGGAATTAGAGAGTTCTATAACCCGCCGTTCTTGTCATGGGTTGACCGATGGCGACAGGTAGGACGGCGTTTTTCTTAAAACCACTTTATCTAAATCGGTAGTCAAAATTTCGCAATGACTATTGAGGTGATCGAAATTTTCTACACTTCTATTAAACATGTTTTTGTAGTCCCTGAACGTGGATTTTTTTCATATTTGATTTCAACTCATTTTATTAGCAAAAAATGACGTTTTTTGTAAAAAATGCTACAAAAAATTAATTTTTTTATTTTTTTAATTTTTCTTCGTTCAGGAACAAGGAAAATTCACTTAACTACTTTAAGAAAAAATTTGGATTTAAGATTTCACATAAAAATTGAAAAAGTTATCATGACTACCGCGAAAGAGTTTTCTTGTGGACGGACTAATACTTCACGACACTGCCAACGCCTTAACTTATATTATTTTGCATTCAAATTTTCATCAAATTTTGTTCACATATTTTAATTTAATATTATATGTAAATAAAATAAGGTGTATACTTTATTTAGTATCTTTTAAAAAAGTTAGAAAAAATAAACCTTTGTTTTGGCCTTCAAGACCTTTGTAACCCCTTAATTGATTACTTTAGAATCAGAACTAGATTGAACAGCCAGTATTACACTAATTCGTAGCGGGCGTTAAGCACTCGTGCAGAAGAGACGTGGCAAGTTAGCGCACGGACTACGCCTACATCCTACATCCTAAAGTCTTGCCCTGGCTCCCAGTGAAATTTTCCTTTTTTGAAATTTGAAAAGGGAGTAGCGGCGATGATGATTTTCAGACCACAGTGAAATAAAAGTGGGCGTAGAAAACTATTTTGAAAAAAAAAATCTAAAGAAAATTTGTTTCAGTGGCTCGATGTGAAAAGTAGTGTATTTCACCTGAGGAAGACTATATTGAGAATTAAAACACATAAACTATTCATTTGCATATATTTTTTTGGATAAAATTTGCATACTTACATTGTACAACGAATGCGCCCAACTCTGCCGCCAATTCGAAAGCCACAGGCAATCTGCCTTGTAATACATCTTGTTTCACTTGTAGAAACAGTTGATACCTGTAGAAGAGAGGGAAATAGTTTTTACATTAAAAAATATCGATTTAAAGTGATTTAAATATCTGATGTAAAATATTCAGTTTATTAAACTTTAATCATTTCTGCATGGAATTCGAAAATAGTTCGACTAAAAATTCGAATTGGGTTTTTACCTTATTTTTTTTTATAAGAAAATTATTATATTAAAATTTTTGAATGCCAGACAGTCACTTAATTATTTCACGGAATGAAAAGCTCTCTCGATACTAACATAAACAGTCAACTATTTTCTTTCCAAATATCAAGCGAATCAAATTATAAAGGCGATTCCTTTGCTTAGGTCGAACCCTAGTCCATTTCCCGGAAAAATTTCGACTGAAAGCTTTCGAGTTCATTATGTTGCTTCATACAAGCGTTAACCCTCCCCAAACGCCAAATCATCCTTTCCTTCCTTATCATAAGCATACTCTCCTAAAATCAATGGCTTAGCCTATTTCTTGATTCGACAATATACCCTTTCTTCCAAGTCGCGCACTCTGAAAACGTGAGCAGCTCTTGTGCAAGATACAATAATCAACTCGTTTGGAGATTTGAAGAAGCTTCAAAGTTTAACCGTTTGCTAAACTCTAATTAGAGCTCGTTTTTTCCTGTGGCAGGTACGAGCAGGCGTCGGTATTGAAGCAAGCGACTCGGGAGCAAAATTTAAAGCAATTCGCCTAGAGAGTATGCGCACTGGGTTAACGACCCACCCAGCTCTTTAGAAAAAACCCGAATTTGGTGTCGGATTTGTGGTGGGAGAGAGATTACTTCGGCAAGTTCTGGCATTCACACCGGTGTATTATTTGAATGTCTCGTCATGGAACTTGTGGAAGGAGGTGCCCAATCCACAAATAAGGGGATCCCACAATCTGGGCCGATTATCGTAAAATAAGCCTTCTTAACATCACATCGCTATGTCTAAATAAGGTATCCCTGTAAAACTTATACGGCTGTGTAAACTGACGATAAGGGGCGCCAAAGCTCCGTCAGGATCAATAAGGATCTCGTTTTGTTTCGTTTACAGCCATCATATGCTCTCTTATGCTTGGTATTTGCTGTCCGGTGTTCTTCGCTTCACATATGCAGGGGCTTATATTTGCTGGTATTATTGGGTACCTTCGAGGCTGTTTCGTCATTAAGGTCGAATTTTCCTACAGTTGTGCCAAAGATATTTTGTCCATCCATCGTGGCGATAAAACCTTTAAGCACAATGGAGGAGGCAGCGCTTATTGCATCGTCTTTGTCCCACTTCGGGTCTTTGACGCAAATCTGCCATATGTTGAAAAAATTCTTATTCTTATTCTTCTTATTCTTTATTGGCGTTGGCACCGCTTACGCGATTGTAGCCGAATCAATATTAGAGCGCCATTAATCTCTTATTTTCGCTATTTGGCGCCAATTGGAAATACCAAGTGAGGCCAGGTCGCTATCCTTCTGATCCTTCCAACTTTAACGCATAATCTCGCTGGGTTAGTAGGTTTCGATTTTACACATAAATACAGTGAGCCGCTTGTTTCGCAGCTGCATCTGTCTTGTATCGAAGATGTCGGAGTATGAAGCTTCCTTTGTTCCAGTCGTGAGTCCAGGCTCACACAGACCAATTACTACAACTAGCACAAGGGTTGCAACGCACACTGGGTGCGCGATGTGGATGCAAAGGCAGGAAGTCGCTCTGCAACGGCAATTACATACTTTGTTTATACTCATTACAAGGTTAGATTATGGATAAGGCGAATGAAAAATTATTAATTAAATCCTCGAGTGTCAAGTATTGAACCCCAATACACTTTAAAAAGCTCCCATACCCTTTATTTGTTCACAAACGCTTAGTAAGAAATAAACAAATAGAAATTTCAAACTATATTCTCTGATAATAAATTTCAAAAATTTTAATTGCTTTAGTCATTACTGATTCCATTAAAACTACACCGCTAGCGGGATGGTCATAAAATACGCGAACACAAATCTCGTCCAAACCACTGTCTTCATGACTAACAACAAATGAAGTACTAACAGTTCATTGGGAATAAATACGAATAGCGGGAGGGGGTGGGGGTGTGTTTGTATATATTTAACTATTTTAGCCACATACAATATAATCACGTACTCCTCGGCATATTGTTTTTGTTTGTAGTCGTAGAATTAAAGAGCAATGCCAACACTCAAAAGGAGAGCGTGTACGCTGCATGGATAACGGTATTAATGCAACGCATAATCAATTCACCTTCTAACCAAATGGCAATAAACGTTAATAGGACTAAAATGCATGTAACAACACACACACTCACACCCACAATATGGATATAGTATTGATTGAGTGTATTAATACACACATACGCACGCACACACAGCTACTAGCATAAGCTAATGCATGCCTGTTGAGTAGATTTATTCATCTGCAGCAATATTATTATTGTTTCACCCGAAAACCCACGCCCAGCGGCGCCTCAAAGCTCTGTAGTTAGTCGCCTATTAGCGGCTGAAATGCGTGATTGCGCGTACGAGTAGCTTTGCATGCATGTATCTGCATGGGTGGGTGTGTGCAAGTGCATGTGGCTGCGTTGAACTTCATGCTGACAGGATATAACAATATCCTGTGCAAATAAATGCATTTATTGTTTGGTCCTTAACAAAATTTAGTCGCAGTTGGACACTTGATTGCGTGCGTGCGTGTGCGTGCGGGGGTGTGTGTGTGTGTGGAGGCATGTAGCTGATATATATGTATAAATACATTTGTATGAGTCAAAATTTGTAGCAGACAGTAAATATTGTATTTGCAATTACTATGAATTTACACCCATACATATAAATATATATAGTATAAAACAACATATACATACGTATTTCAGCACATACATACATATTTAGTTGCACATACTTATACTTAAAATTTGTTTTTATTAATATTTATTAATTTATTGATGCATTGCTACTTAAACAGTTAGCTAACATTTGCACACACTTATATCTACAAATGTTTGTATGTTTGTATATGTTCTACATGTGTGTCCTTCTAAAAATCATTGTAAATTACTATTTGTTCAATCTGCTTTGCACTTCTGTGCTTTTTCAATGGCAATCGCTTTTGTCTCGAAAATATTTACCAACAATACACCCTTCGTTTGTATGTATGTGCGCGCAAGTGTTTAACGGTAATATGCAATTTATTTGCTTAATTGCAAAAATATTTCTCAAAGGACTCATTAAAGCGTTCAAAATTTATTAAAATTTGTAAGCAAAAGTTTTCAATTCCTCAACTTGGCGATAAGCCGACTGAGCTATAAACTTATAAAGGGTGATCCAAGTAGAGGTACTCTTTTCAATAGGACGTTTTTGACAGACGCCTGAACAAAGCTTAGAAATAGTTCAATTTTTTAATGAAAATTTACGCCCTGTAAAAAATGTGTTTCGCGCACTTCGCTCAACTTTTTGTCTACATAATCGGTCCACTGAGTTTACTATTCGCAACACCATCATCTATCTTGAGACCCAGCATTTATTATTTGATAATATTCGAAATATGGACCACGGCAGCAGGCAGCGAAGAAAATATAGTGGCCCTAGCTGAGAGTGTACACGAAGACTGCGGAGAGTCGATTCGGCGCTGTTCGCAGCAACTCGGACTGTCGTATGGAACAACTTGGCGCATTCTACGTCAAGATTTTAAATTGAAGGCGTACAAAATACAGCTTGTGTTAGAACTAAAGTCGCTCAACCGTCCCAAGTGGCATCGCCTCGCTCTGTGGGCTCTTGAAAAGTTCCAAGAAGAACTGAGAAAAATTTTGTTTACTGATGAAGCCTATTTCTGCCTTACTGGGAGCAACCTCAAGAGATTTAAGAGCTGACATTTCATTCGGAAGGAACAACGGTTTGGTGTGACTTGTGAGCCGATGGAATCATCGGAACATATTTCTTCAAAATTGGTGTCAGTGAGAATGTAACCGTTAATGACGACTGTTATTGGGCCATGATAACCGATTATTTGATGCCTGATATGAAGTTTGAGGTTCGGCAACATTTGGTTTCAAAAAGACGGCGCAGATTTCCACACATCGCATCAATCAATGGATTTATTGAGAGCATACTTTGGTGAGCAGATAGTTTCAAGTTTTGGGCCGGCCGATTGGCAACCCATATCGTAGATATCATACCGATAGACTTATGTTAAGTCTTTGTGGACAATTCCGCTTCGATTCAGGCCTTGGAGCAAAAGAAGAATGCTTGAACGCGTCATCGAAAATTGAACTCAACGGATGGATCATTTGATAATAAACTTTCCCTATAAATTTGAGTTTTCCATGTTTTTTTTTTTCTTAAAAAGAGAAGGGAAGCTCGAATCGGATCACCCTTTATATCTAGTTGTTCAGGCATAAATCAAGGAAAATAATTAAAATATAAACATTAGTGACCACTATTATGCACTTTTCTGATTTGCAAAAATATTTTAAGTCAAATGAAAATTCCGTTTTTTACTTGATTTGCGGTTTTGTTTTAAATTTGAAAATATTTTCTTAAACAAAAGCTCGGAAAGGATTAAAGCGAATGGCAATCTGACTATAATCATATGAAATCGGCCTGCTGAATGAACTATGAACTGTGCCCGTCCACTTTATGAAGAATTGTGGCCGAACGAGCATCAAACGCAGCGCACGTTCGGTAAATGCGCCCAAAATGAGGTGGTCACGAATCTCGATATTCGCAAGAAATTTTCTTTCAACGGCGAAGCTCATATTTGTTTGAATGTGTGCGTTACTGGAAGTGATGATATGCGGTTACATCCTCAGGAAGTCGCTGTTTGGTGTGCTCTGAATAATGACTTTTTCGTACCTGGAATGGCCTTTGGTGTGGCCTCCAAGGACGCGGGAGTCAAAATTGCTTTACAAAAACCTTTACTAATGCTTTGATTGGAAGGATTTTATTTAAGTCTTTTATTTACGTTATTAAGCCATTGCAAGACCAAAAATGATAGTTGGTTTTAGTAAAAGAATGAGCAAATTTTTCTCTGTTTGAGTTCTCTGCAAAGTGAGCCTAGAAATTTATAAGTCAGCGAAGGGAAAAGCGTTCGCAATGGAGCACTTTTCTGTGGAAGCGTAAAAGAAGATTGATAGACCGCCTGACGTGGGCGATAACCTCGTTAACAGCCTACTGGTGTCGGGTTGGGCAGATTAAATAGATTTTCATTTCGAAGGCAGGAGGAAGTTTGAATGTGTTTTCTAAAAATTTTTGGAAGTTTCTAGTTTGGGCTGCCTTCAGCTAAAAACTCTCGTAAAGCTGTTTGTCTTATATCTAAGTAGTACAATCTCCCGGGTATTTTCTTGTGAAGGTTTAGCATACAAATTGAAAGAGTAGTACGGGGACAGTGCCTTATATGCTATTGAATAGGTGGATAGAGGAAGTCCTGCTACAACTCTGAACATCTAAAAAATCTTTCATTATTTGCTTTTTAGTTATAAAACCCGCCGGCAGTTCACCAATTCGCGAAACTTATACGGCTGTTTAAACTGACAACGGACAACACCAGAAACGCAGTCCGAATTGGGCAATACCTCTTCAAGCCTTCGGTACCAAACGAGTATTCAGATAGGGTGATTCTTTACAGCGTGTTTTCTTCAATTTGATGCAATTTGAATAGAGAAGGTACAATCTTCTATAAGAGTATACAACTACTGGAGTACGCCGAGGATATTGACATTATCGGCCTCAACAACCGCGCCGTTAGTTCTGTTTTCTCCAGGCTTGAAGCGAAAAGAATGGGTCTTAGTAGTGAACGAGGACAAGGCGGAATGTTTCATGTCACCACATACACAGTCATCGCATTCACGACTTGGCTCCCACGTCACTGTTGTCAGTAATAACTTTGAAGTCGTAGATAATTTCATTTATTGAGGGACCAGCTTAAACAGCAATAAAAATGTCAGAGTTATTCAGAGTTATACTTTGAACTGAGTAGGCAAATGAAATGCAAAGTCCTTGCTCAGCGAACGAAAACCAAACTCTACAAGTCGCTCATCACACCAGTCCTACTATTGTATATGGCGCAGAAGCGTGGACGATGTTAACATCTGATGAGTCGGCTCTAGGAGTCTTCGAGAGAAAAGATTTGCGAACAATATACGGTCCTTTGTGCATTGGCGACGACGAATACCACAGACGATGGAACGATGAACTGTACAAGCTATACGACGATATTGACATACACGTAGTTCAGCGAATGAAGAGATAGCGGCTACGCTGGCTAGGTCATGTCGTCCGAGTGGATGAAAGCACTCGAGCTTTGAAAGGGTTGGATGTAGTACCCGGTGGAAGAAAAGAAAGAGAAAGACTTCCACTCCCTTAGAAGGATCAGGTGGAGAGTGACCTGGTTTCACTTGGTTTTTCGAACTGGAACCAAGCAACGAAAAACGGGATGAATGGCGCGCTAATATTGATTTGGTTATAATTACGTATGCGGTGCCAATGACAAGCCCTGATCCACTTCCTGGAGGGAAGTGTAGTCTTCAAGCTAGTCGAAGTAAAGCACCAAATTTCAAGTAAATCACCATCGAATGGGCCAACTACCCGATGGGTTTCAATCTCGAAAAAAATGTTTCAATCAAACCGTTCGAGGAACCCTAGAAAATAACTAACGAATTATTCTTATAATCTACCGGGTAGTCTCGGATTACACAGGAATTAAGCAAGCATATATAGATTTTTTAGTAAATATTTAATTTAATTCAATTTACCTTGTGATTTCTTCGAGTAATTTACATGGATCTGCAGCATAGAATTTAACACCAAAATACAAATCATACGGATCTGATTTGGGTTTCAGTTGTCGTGATATACGAGAAGCTGGATCCAGCCAATGCTAGAAGAAAAAAAGTTAAAAACAAATTACTGTGGATTTGAAATGAATATAAAATAGCGCAATATATAAAACTGCTACATATAAAGGGTGTCCCAAAATTATGTAGAAAAGAGAGTTTTTGGTCTTGCTCATGTAATTTTTTGTGTCCTTTAAAGCACGCACGATTGGGGTTAAATCACATCATCAAAGGGCCAATTCTGATCACTAAAACGAGGGAGTATACGATCTGGAAATGTCTCGTGCAGTAATGGAAGTGTTTCATGGGCTGTAAGATGTGTGACATAGAGACGCCGATCTTTAGTAAACGCTCTTTACAGCGTCTTGAATTTCGAAATTTTTGTTCACGACGTCGAATTGAGATACCCATATTGTCATAGACACTCTCACGCACTGCTTCCATATTGTCATTTAAACGACTTGTTTTTCGACGACCGGTGTATTTGTTGCCTTCAATGGATTCTGCCTTCCGGAATTCTTCAATGAATAAGCTAACAGTTCACGAAGTTAAACTCTATTTCGATCATGTTTTGAGGTGATTCTCGAAATGTTCCGCGAAGGTTTCATTAGTTCTGCAATAAGGCTAAGATGTCAGCTGTCGATTTGTTTTTTTTTTAGGGTTGCCAACACTTCAGTACAGAAATGACGGCAATTTTAAATCTTGCGATAATTTTGGGACAATCTGTATATAACACCGACGTATTAGCATAGGTGGAAAGTAGAAATTAAATAAGTTGATAAATTCATTAAATGAAAGATTTTCTAGGGGTGCCATTTGGTTGTTTTCTTTTCCTTTTCTAGAACTCGGTATTTACTGTGCTTCGAGGACTATGCAGCAAGATAAAACATACGAGAACAGCCACGATTAATGCCATTGACCTTGAGAATCACTGCTTGTATTTTTATCGACCCCTAAGAGTAAGTTAAGTAGAAACTATATCCTATAATTACATTCGAGGGGATTAACAAAAGTTCGGCAAGTTGACCAGAAAAAAAATAAAAAAAAATAAAATATTCGTACTCTTTGTCATTTTGTATCTTCTCTACATAATAGCCATTGACTTCAATGCATTTTTTAAGCTTATAAATCCACTTCTAAAACAATTTTCAAAATCTTGCTTTTTAAGCTTTTTAACCCCATTTATATCCTCATTGCCATTAAAGACCTCTCCTCTTAATTTTTTTTTTTCAATTTCTGGAAACAACCAGAAATTACGAGGCGCTGTAGCCGGAGAATATGATGCCGTACATATAACTTTGATCCCAGAGATTGCACTAAATTTACTAGCTGTTCCAGCAGTGTCGCCATCCCACACGTTGCCATGATGTAAGGAGTAGCGCCGCATACCCTTTTTCTTCCTGGTTCCCAACAAGTTTTTGAAAACTTTTGGTAAGCACTCTTCGGTGTACCAATTTGCAGTTACCGTCTTATCCTTTTCAAGTAGAGCAGCAACTACAATTTTAGACCGGGTGAAGTAGGCCGACATCGTTACTTTTGCTGCTGATTTTTGCTGCTTAGATTTTACGGGTGGATTTGCTGCCGTTCGGCTCCATACCATGAGCTGCTGTTTGGTTTCACTAGTAACGACTTTACTGAATTTGCTAGACTAATCATTATGAAATTTGTAAGGAATGATTGAGCAAAATGCACTCGAGCCTATTTTTGGGCCTCATATAAAATTCCTCGTACTCATCGAGCAGATTTCTTCGTATATCACAGATGATTATGTACTCAATATTCGCGTTACAGCCATGGCATTCAAGCCCAATTCATTAACAATCATTTATTGAGTCCATCGTGGGTCTTCGTCAATTTTGGACTTCAACAGAGCTACAGTGGCCTCATCATTTGCATTTGTGGTGGAATCGACCTGACCTTTCCTCAGCTGTCTTGCGTTTTCCGGTTTCAATTTTAGGCGATCGTTCTAAAATTTGAAAGAAAAACTAACAGAGTTAGATTTAACAAAATCGAATTGAAAGTCACCAACTGACCGAAATTTTGTTAATGCCCTCGTATGTGGTTCAGAGTTAGTGCGTCGAAGGACTCACAAAGTTCTTATCAAGCCGGCACTTGCCTGTTTATGATTATTTTTTTACCGTGCAACTGCATAATATAAACATAAAAGCTATTCACAACAAAACGTGTGCAGCGCATAGCCAATTTTAGCAAAATGAGCAGCGCAAAATACCGTTAGGCATGCAATGTGACAAAAAGGTAGGCTGTGATTAAGTAAGAAGCGCTCATAAGCCGCAAAAGCGGTGATATCCAACTATTAGCACCTAGATATATGTATTCACAGCACATACATACATACATTTATGCATACATTAAAAGGTATAAATTTGTATGTGTGTATATGTAAATATATATAGTGAAACTATGTACTCGCGAGCTGGATATGAGCTGATTTGTGCGCAAAAAAGTACAATGAAAATGCTTCAAGGAAAATGTATCCTTTGCTGGCAAACACACTCGCGGAAACTTTCTTCATTGTCGTCTGATAGTCTGGTAAACTTTTTCCAACGCCTGCACCCCATTGTGTGACAATGTGCCATTAGTTGGGTTTCTTTCGGAGGGAAATAACTTCAGCCAAAGTTCAGCTAGTGCATATACATATAATTGTAAAATATCTGTATATGTGTGTTTGTGTGAGTGTATGTGTACCAACTCAGCGACCCTCGAGAGGCGACGCGAATATTTGCAAATTTTTATGGAGTTCTTTTGTCTGTTTGCGGCAGATTTTCAAGGTCCCGCCAACTGCCGCTGTAGGCTGCTGCTAAACGAACTGCCAAAGCGATACTTATATGCACATATAAATTTACTTACAAACTTGTGTGTGTGTGTTTGTGTATGTGTGTGTGTTTGTGCTGTGAAAGGAAAATGGAAATGGAAAGTGAAATTTATTTTATAATTCAGCGCCAAGGGCAAACAGGTGAAAATATTTCACTACACTGCGTGCCGCGGAACAGTTTATACAATATTTGTTGTTGGGGCTATGTATACACATTAGGGTGTGCAACATTTATAACCGTTTTACTATCTAAAACAATTTTTTAAGCTTAAACTAGTTAATCGCTTCACCTGTAGGATTTTCAATTCTGTTTTACTCAGAGCTTAATACTGAGATAAATGAGATTAAAAAAGTTGACTTGAAGAAAGTTTTTCAAACAGTTTTTCGTTTCGAAAGAAAGCCTCTGCGCTGAAAAATAATATAAATAAAATAAAAACAAAATAAACTGCGAATTTTCTTAATTACATATTGACAATTTTTATCAATGACCTCTTGCTATTTTCGGGTTGCTTCATTATTTCATCAGTGTTGAGTTTGACCCATGTCTTACCATATGTCTTACCAACACTCCAGAGCTGCAAATTCCGAAACAAATTGTCGTTAGCTAGTGCACGGCTCGCGCTTCATTTTGGATGTATTAAAACTTTCCAATGAAGCCCTATCAGCTCCTCGCTAGTCAACAAATAACGGTTTAGTAAAGAGTTATTTTTGCATTAATTTGAAGCTTCAGTTTGAAGTGATTAGAGTTATCCCCTTTAAATGAAATATGCACCATTTTATTCGGTAACTTCTTGTCATTATGAAGATAATGCCAATATGGCTCTCCCAAAGAAATCCTTTTCCTTATCGGCAAAAAAAATGGGATAATCGATTTTCACAGGGTTCTCTTGAGGCTAATTCTACGACCAGCCTCTTCATTCGCCATGGGTAGCAAAAGATGGTAATCAGTCGGTGCGAGTTCCGTACAATAAGGTGAGCGCATAACAACCTTGCAACCAAGCTTTCGGATCTTCTGAATATCGATCTATCATTGCGTTTGGTCTGGTGTTGCACTGACAAAGCACAAATCCTCTCATGTTGAACAAAAGCTGGAAGTTTCTGTGTGATTGCTTGCCTCAGATGGTCCATTTTGCAGATAGTACAGGTCCAAATTCAAAGCTTTGCGGCAGGGCAGCATCTCATAGTGGATGATTCCCAAACACACAACAAAACCTTCCACGCCGTAAATCCTAGAGACCGTTTGTGCCTGCTCACAGCTTCTCGACCACAATTGTTTTAGTTTGACCATACTGCAAGTCATCCGATATTCTTCACGCTTCAGAAATTCATCGATTTCGTAAGAATTAAGCAGCGACTCGCAGATGGAAACTCTGTCGATGGGAAATTTTTCTCGTTAACTCAAGTAGCATCCATAAATCGAGCTGCTTTGTATATCCAACTCCTTTTCGAGTGGTTCTATGTTGTTTTTTGGTCATTTTTTAGCTCATCGGTAATCGATATAATCAGACTCATCGCTTTCCATTATTTGCATCATTTTCGACAATTGGCCCTCCAGACGGGGTACGATTGACAGTTTAAGGACCTTAAGCAAAGAATAATTGCAGAGCATGATGTATTTTCTCTTTGCTGTCATTTTTTTAGTACCAAATATCATCTTTCTAACGCAATTTAGCGTAATCCAATCGCACTTATGGAATGTGAGATACAGATCACTTCGAAGTGCTTGAAAGTAGAGGTCAGTCTTGCTTCTTTTGTCAGGCTCTAGCAGCAGCTCATAATGGATCCCTTTTCGTTCATACCACATACCCAGCCTCATTTTATTTACCGCCTTTGATCATGTCTTTTTGTAGCTTTCGTGCATCTGCACTGGTATACAACCTTCGGTTCGACGTTTGTCAGTGGTCAAGACCTAACAAAATTTATAGAGATCGGATCAGAATAACGATGTGAGCTTATTTAGCTCTGTTCGTCTGTCAGCCTGTTTGCACCCAAACTTTGATATTTAAACGATCATCTATAGGAACCAGCCAGATCTGACCACTATAGCAACTATAAAATATATACGATTGATTTTTCAGAACTGAGATTTTGTGTCATGACAACGTCAAAACAGCAACTAACTGCATTGAATTTGATACTCTCCGCTCATATGATGAACTACATATTAATGCTGGAAATTGTCGGACGACTATAACATGTAACTCCCATACAATCGATTTTGTCATGTATGAGAATTATTGTTTAATTCCACCATGAATTTAATATTCTCATGATATGGTATAAGTCGGCTCTTCTTACTCGTTTAGTATTCTTGTATTAAATCAATTTGTCATCTCCGTGATGGATAACTTCAGAAATGCTTAGATTTTGTGGTATTTCAGAGGGGTTTCACTGGTTTCAATTTGCTCACTCAAATTCTTAATTCTAAATTCCTACGTTAGCAATGTCTGGTGCCACCGCTCTCTCTTCATAACTTGCATTCCGGTCTTGCAATACCAGTTGCAGAATATCTTCAGCTTTTCGAGAGGGATTGGCCGACCACAATTTACGAAAGTCAATCGATGGAATCACTCTTGGGACCGGATTCCACTTACAACATTTGCACCGTAAACCAAATAAGTTTTTCAGCACACCTCTGCAGCGTCTTTATCTGTTTGATAGCATAAAAGGGCATCAGTTAACCTATTTTTTGGGGAATTTCACTGATCTTCAAAACAAAGTGAGTTCTAACGTGAGCGACGATTAACAGAATGATCTTTCTTCAGAAGAAATATTGCTTAACATATCGGATTAGTGCAAGTAGGAGTATCATTAAAAAAAAAGTATAAAGTCCTATACAAGATTCAGTTTTTTGAGCATTTAATGCGAATCAAAACTAAAATAAAATAATTTTAAACTTTTTTTTAAATAACAACCACCCTTTTCGGCACTTTTGCGCATACAAATAATTTCCTCTCACTTTAATAACTTTAATATTATTCTAAAGGAAGCGGTGAAAGTTTTAGAGTTTCTGCGCCAACATTACGGCTCAATGAATGCGCACGAAAATGAAAAGGAAAATGAATTACAGTCTAAAAGCCTAAACGTTTAGGGCACAGCTGGTGTGCTGCCATCCTGAAAAGTAAACTTCAATAATAAATGAAAAAGGCTAAGCGACAGGGAGTTTTTGAATTTGAGTTTGACGAAATACTGCAGCCTGTCTTCGACATTCCTCAGCTTGATTTATATGTGTTTACTTTGAAAATATATATCGCGTTGTTTGTGCATATTTTCTTTAGCATTTTCATTCACTTTCACTTACCGTCTGGTTCTCTTCGTCGATATAGCGTATGCCAAAATATGAAGTTTCGATTAAATTAAGTCTGGCGAAAACAACATCCAACAATGCTTGGCCCGGCAAATCGTCCTGCAAGTAAATATGAGAAGGAAATATTTTATAAATAATAATGCGTACATACAAAGTAACAAAGCAATATGTATGTGCATATATTTTCGTTTAAGGAAGTAATTCCTCAAGGCAATGAAAAATGAAATATGTTTTTGTTTGAAAAATAAACTCATAATCAAAAAAAAAAAAATATTGCGGCTAATCAGTTGGAAATTTTACATATATTTCTGAGCTGCATAATTTTTGTTTGCGGAAATTTGTCCTTTTGTGGAGGTAATTTTGTATCTGAGACGCTTGCTTTTTTCTTAATAAAGCAGTATATATGTATGTTATATGGATACAGCGAGTTTTCTTGGATTTACACTGGTGGCCAAAACTAAAGAAACTATTTAAAATGACTTAGCTGAACAAAGACTTTTTAAGTTGTCAATTTAAATTGTAGACATAAAATATTTTTTTACATCAAGTTAAGCCATGTATTATCTTAAAAATTTTAATATAAAATTTTTTCAAATTTTCTTCGTTTTTTCGCATTTATTGAATTTAGCTCATATATATGGCCTAGTCGTAACTAAAGCAACTGAACTCCTTTTCAAATTTTTCGTATAAAACGTTAGAAAAATAATTTTAAATTATTATTATTATTTTTATCACTGCAACGCATCTATGAAGTATAGAACTTATAAGGTGTTTATAATTATAAAAAAGTTTAAATACACTTAAATATACAAATCAATTAAGTTAATATTTTTATCCCTGCCCAGCTCAATCTGTCTTAATCGCTATACCTTCGAATTAAAATTTTTTAATCCATTTTTTTGTTTAACGATTTGCCCTAAAAGGACATTAAAAATGTTCAGTCAACATTTAAAACTAATTTCAAAACTTAGTTAGGAAGGTGGGAGCTTTACCGAAATAGAAAAGGTAGCGCTTCAATTTTAATTTAATTTTTAAGTTTTCCGTTAAATTAAAAGTTTTGATAACTCAGATTATGTGTATGTTAAAGCTGTTAGGTTTGTAATTTATTGTAAAATGCCAATTAGATTTAACTTCATCATAAATGTAGGCAACGTTTAACTTGACAATCAACATTAGTCTGCTATAGAATTTGCTAACCGCTGCCTACACTTAGGCGCTTTGCTGAAACCTCTGATTTCGCGTAAAGCTTAATCTTGATGATATGTCCACCAACACGCCTCGACTTACTCATGAATATTTTTAGTAAACTAAATTAGATAAAAGCAGAAAAATATAAACCTTTTTTTTGCACCAATTGAATGCAGTTATTAAATCATTGATTGAAACTATAATTAAGTTTTCATTTAACTCTTATTTTCACTACTATTAAGTGCATTAGTGAAATCTATCTTCTTTTGAAATTTGCTACTTTCAAACCATATTCAGAAGCAAAACTTTTTCGAAGTAAATTAAGTTTGTAACGGTATACTATGAACAAAATAGATATGGAATCGAGTTAGTTATGTCTGTTCGTACGCCTGTGAGTCAACAAGTACGTAGGAGTTGAGATATTTAGATGAGACTTGGTTCACACATCCCGTGAGCCACTAGAACGGATGCTATTGTAATTGGTTGAAACCTCGAAAATGGCCATTATTTTAACAACTCCGAATATTCAGTAACTAAATGTGCAATTAAAGTTATTTTTGTTAGAGACAGACGCATAAAAAGGGGTATTTAATCTATAGAAGCCTAGAAACTGTACTGCTTACCTAAAAATTTGATACTTATGAAACCAAATTGAATATGGCGGCCTTCGGGCAACAAGCAGACGCCTGACTCAAAATGGAGTTAATCGCATATTAAAGTCTTTCATCAACAGTATTCAAACCAAAACTTAGTAGGCGCTAAAGTCTTAGTAAAAACTGTTGACAAAGTTCCAGAACTAGAGATACCGAATTTTTCGGAGCTGGTGTTTTCGACAGCCAGTACTTGATTTATAACCAGTTTGGTTTGCCGCTTCATAATGAACCGACTAATTCCTGAACTACGTTAGCAAATCGTGGAAATTTACTACCAAAATAATGATTCAATCCGCGCGACACATAGGGCGCTTCATTCAATATTCGGTCGGCATAAGCGACCATTAGAATCAATAACTCTAGCGACCATCATTGATAATGGTTTCACAACACATTTACTCTAGTGGCTAATGTGCGCCGAAGACGCTATTGCTGTGGACCAGAGTAACGAGGAAGACCCGAATCAAGAATCACGATTTGCAGATTTTCAAAACCCAACTTGTGTGAAAATTGAAGCCGAACTACCATCAAGCGCTTCGTACGTTCGTTTAAATGCCCAAATCGAGATGGCCAACATAGCGGATTGTCACATAAGAATTTTATTCGGCGAAGTAGCTCACTTATGAGGTAAGTGGGTTGTTGTAGAAAACGACGCATTTGCAGTGATGATAATTATAAGCCAATGTTTGGTGTGCTCTATGGAAGGGGGTAAACATAGGTCGATATGTCTTTAAAAACGAAACCGTGCATAATTTTACGGTCAATGGAGAATGCTATAGTGCCATGATTTAATGATTTGCTAATGTGGATGACCTTGGGTTCGAACAAGACAGCCAAACGCATCAATCAATTGACTGAAGGAAGCTTTTGGTTGCGTCGTGGTACTTTGGTCGTATAACTTAATACTGAACCATATCTACACAGATAAGCTCGAAACTATTGACGACTTAGTAGAGAATATTCGATGTGTTATTGCTGACATCCGGGCTCCATTGATGGAAAAGTGATCGATTAATCCAGCCAGTCTTGGCGGGTACTTCCTCTAAATCATTTTTAAAATGTAAGGAAAACCCCTTATCTTTAGAGTAAAGCTAAATTCTTGCTTATAGCATTAAATCTAACTTCTTTCATAGCTTCTTGAAAACCATATATCTGAGAAAAAAATCCGTCGAGTATATAATGTTCGGTTACACCCAAACTAAGTCTTCTTTCTTGTTTACTTAATATTTTAAAATTAAACGCAAGTCAACATATGAAGGTTTCTTTTTAGATATAAATATAATAAATTATCATAAAACTGATTTTTTAACAATTAATAGTAATTAAAAATAACAAGCTTTTATAAAAAAATATATATATACCCGTAAATTAAAAAAATTCCCTATCTATCTGAATTAAATATTTTAACGAATCAGTTTGCGTAACAAAAAAAAAAATGGTAAAAGAAATAAAAAAAAAATTAAAACTGAAAATTATATAAAAATATCAATAAACAAGAATATTTTTCCCCCTTTTATTTTATTTGCAATGTAACGAAAATTGTTTAACAATTATTGCAAAACAATAATAAACAAAAGAAAATAACTGAAAAAAGCAAAAAAGAAGGATCTTAACAACAAATATTTATTAACGCTATAATTTTATTTGCACATACTTATGTATATGTATGTATCCCACCACAGCTGACGACAGCTGTGCAAGCAACATGCCGCACTGTATGAGCAACCACAAGACAGACACACATACACACACACTTAGAAGCAGTCATATGAAGCACCAAAGGACACTACAAGAGCCGTTTGAGTAAATAGCTGACATTGCCTTTTCTGACAGCCGGAAAAATTTTTGCGTCTGACGACATACACGCAATGCCAAAGGCAATGAGGGCAATAAAAAACAAAAACAAAAAAATATAAAACGTATATATGTATGAGTATGAAAGCGGAAGCTAAATAACGACACGTAAAGCCAATATAATGGCAGTCGGCGCTAAAACAAAATAAAAAAAAGTCCTAGTTGTTGGCCGTTTTTGGTTGTTTTGGTTGAAGTACGTATGTGAAGAGTAAATGAAAGTAAATGAAACAATGAAGTAACTGTAGATTTTCAAGTGCTCACATGTCAAAATGTAATAAAAAGGTCGGCAAAAGGAAAAAATGTCATAAAATAGCGCACCATTTTATACTCACACGTATTTATGTATGTACTATGTGTATGTATGTATGTGTATGTAAGTATGTAAAAATAAATATGTATTTGCACTTTCATGTTTGTTATCAACAAAGGGGTAACCACAGTCATTACTCATGAAAGTACTATTAGTATTCCTCCGCTGTGAGGGGTTGTTGTGAGCACACCCTTCGTTGGGGCAAGAACTCCAAATTGCCGTAAAGAGTTGCGCCAGTGTAAGCAAATGCCCGTTTTTATACCTTTCATGAGCATAAAATGATATATTAACTTTGGTGCGAAGTATGTAAGTACCACAGGGAGAAGTTGATTTAATCATATCCGTCTGCCCGTGTTGTTGTATGCAAAATAGTTCCTCAATTTTTGAGATATTTCAGACAGAGTCGGTAAACAAGTGTACGTTTATACTATATTGATCATTTGTTGGAACGACCGATTTGTTCAGATATGGGCGCTTGAGTCAAAAACCCGTAAAAACCACGAGAAAATTCAAGTAAATATGTGCAGGCCCACACAACGCATTTTCCAAATATGAGGACTGATATTTTATCCTAAAATGCAATAAAATAAATTTTATTTACGTATGAAAGGTATAAAAACTGACGGTCAAAGCGAGCCAGACCAGCCACGCAATAGGAAGCTTGTTCGAAAACTGCCCGAGGTTCTTTTAGTCTGTCTGTATTTTCGAATTTTGCTTATACTAGTTTTTCTGCACCCACAACTCTCGTTTGGCTATTCGTTTTTTGTACAACTGTGGTTTTACACACACCCATCGTATGTGCGGGCTTAGTTTGGCTTCAGTTTTGAAACATTTAACAATTTGTCTAATTTTTTGCGTTAAAGAGACACTAACAAATGTATCAGCTTAGCACTTGACATTCACTCATTTGTCAAAACACACGAGGTGGTGCGTAACTTTGCTGAGTATTTTGCGCTGTGCCTAATTGTAGGCAACGATTTTTTTTGATTTTTCTCATTGTTCAAATTCATTCTTTATATTTTGTGTAGTCAGTATAAGTTGTGTTTCTTTTTCACTCTCGTTTTATTTGTAAAGAGGCATAAAAGGCGAAGACT